AGTGATCCTCTTGTCTCAACCTCCCAAGTAGCTGAGACAACAGGCACATGCCACCACACCTGGCTATCTATCTATCTATCTATCTATCTATCTATCTATCTATTTATTTATTATGACAGAGTCTCAGTCTGTTGCCACAGCAGAGTGCAGTGGTGCAATCTAGGCTCACTGCAACCTCCAACTCCCTGGTTCAAGTGATTCTCTTGCCTCAGCCTCCCAAGTAGCAGGGGCTACCGGCGTGTGCCACCACGCCCAGCTAATTTTTGTATTTTTAGTAGAGACGGGGTTTCACCAAGTTGGCCAGGCTGGTCTCATCTCCTGATCTCATGATCTGCCTGCCTTAGCCTCCCAGAGTTCTGGGATTACAGGTGTGAGCCACTGAGCCTGGCCAAATTTTTTTGTTTTAAGAGATGGGGGTCTCCTTTTGTTGCCCAGGCTGGTCTTGAACTCCTGAGCCCAAACAATCCTCCTGCCTTGGGCTCACAATATGCTGGGATTACAGGTATGAGACACTGTACCTGGCCCATAAACTGATTTCCTGACCCACACATTGGCCATGACCTGCAGGAAAACTTTACCTTTCCTGGAGCATTGGTAAATTTCATTTTTCTCCCCCGCTAACATTTTTCATCTTCCTCTTTGATAACAAGAGCTGCATTCTGATCCATCCCCTTTTGGAGCTGGCTATGGAGATCTGGAGACTTTAGTCCCAGTAATTATGTGGATCTTTTTGGCTTTTTTTGTGTTTTTTTGAGACGGAGTCTCGCTCTGTCACCCAGGCTGGAGTGCAGTGGTGCAATCTTGGCTCACTGCAACCTCTGCCTCCCAGGTTCAAGCAATTCTCCTGTCTCAGCCTCCCAAGTAGCTGAATTACAGGCACCTGCCACCATGCCCAGCTAATTTTTTTGTATTTTTAGTAGAGACAGGGTTTTGCCATGTTGGCCAGGCTGGTCCCAAACTCCTGACCTAAGGTGATCCACTCACCTCGGCCTCCAAAAGCACTGGGATTACAGGCATGAGTCACCGCACCTGGCATTATGAGGATCTTTTTTTTTTTTTTTTGAGACGGAGTTTCGCTCTTGTTACCCGGACTGGAGTGCAATGTCATGATCTGGGCTCACTGCAACCTCCGCCTCCTGGGTTCAGGCAATTCTCCTGCCTCAGCCTCCCGAGTAGCTGGGACTACAGGCATGCGCCACCATGCCCAGCTAATTTTTTATATTTTTAGTAGAGATGGGGTTTCACCTTGTTGACCAGGATGGTCCCGATCTCTTGACCTCGTGATCCACCCGTCTCAGTCTCCCAAAGTGCTGGGATTACAAGCTGGAGCCACCGCACCCAGCCATTATGAGGATCTTATGCGTCCTTAAAGATCTTCATGGATCTTGCTGGGCGAGGTGGCTCATGCCTGTAATCCTAACACTTTGGGAGGTCAAGGCAGGCAGATTTTCTGAGCTCAGGAGTTTGAGACCAGCCTGAGAAACACAGCAAAACCTCGTTTTAACTAAAAATACAAAAAAAAAATAGCCTGGGAGACTAAGGTGAGTGGATCACCTGAGGTCAGGAGTTCAAGACTCGCCTGGCCAACATGGTGAAATCCAATCTCTATAAAAAATACAAAAATTGGCCGGGTGTGGTGGCTCATGCCTGTAATCCCAGCACTTTGGGAGGCCAAGGTGGGTGGATCACGAGGTCAAGAGATCGAGACCATCCTGGGCAACATGGTGAAACCCCGTCTCTACTAAAAATATAAAAAATTAGCTGGGCATGGTGGCGTGTGCCTGTAATCCCAGCTACTCAGGAGGCTGAGGCAGGAGAATTGCCTGAACCCAGGAGGCGGAGGTTGCGGTGAGCCGAGATCACGCCATTGCACTCCAGCCTAGGTAACAAGAGCAAAACTCCGTCTCAAAAAAAACAAAAACAAAAACAAAAATTAGCTGGGCATGGTGGCGTGTGCCTGTAATCCCAGCTACTCAGGAGGCTGAGGCAAGAGAATCACCTGAACCCAGGAGGTCGAGGTTGCAGTGAGCTGAGATTGCACCACTACACTCGAGCCTGGGTGACAGAGCAAGACTCTCAGAAAAAAAAAAATAATTACCTGGGCATGGTAGCACATACCTGTGATCCCAGCTACCAAGGAGGCTGAGGCATGAGAATCACCTGAACCCAGGAGGTGGAGGTTGCAGTGAGCCAAAATGTGCCACTTCACTCCAGCCTGGGCGACACAGTGAGACTCTGTCTCAAACAAACAAACAAACAAACAAAACTTCATGGATCCTTACAGCTTTCTCCTGTCACTCACACGGTTTTCTCCTTGTATCTGTGCCTTCTTAGGTAAGGGGCAGAGTGGCCATAAGAGCCGGCCACTATACTCTTGGGGCTGAACCAGGTCAGAGAACGGGCCAGGGGTGGGGCAGCTGAGCAGTGAGCACTTCCTGTGGCTTCTCGAGCTCCCAGGGACAGTCTGCAGTGGGGCCTTGCTCCACTCTGCACCGCTGCTGTGGTTTCCTGTTTGCAGCTGTTGTGCTGGGCTGGCCTCCCCAACCCCACTACCAGCCTATGGGTATATGTGAGGTGGGGGTGCTGATGCTGCCTAGAAAAGAGCAGGAGGGGCCTTGGAGAGGTCAACCTAGGAATGACCAAGGGCAAGGGGAGGAGAGGCAAAGAAGCTGGAGAGGGCCCTAGGAGGGAGACTGAGGCAAAGAACAAAGGTACCCACAACCTATCACAGTTGGTTTATATCAAGGCAGGAGCCAGGAGGTCTGTCTGCTCCTGACACCTCCTTCCCTGGTCTGTGGCTGTGCCTGCAGTGCCAACATGAATGCCTCATGCCAATATGACTGCCTTAAGGGACTCAGGGCAGGGGCAGCAGCTCAGAGCATCTCACACCTGGGGTGGGAGAAGTCCCACATGCATGTGTGATGTGGCGCGTCCCGACCCCTCTTGGGCCTGTTTTTTGGTCTATATAATGGGAAGAGGAGGATCCATGAGATGATTTCCAGTGGGTTTCTAGCTCTGACTGGCTACTGACCCAAGAGATCCTGTCACCATTTCAACGTTTTGCCAAGAGATCAGAATCAAGTGTCTTTGAGAGGGAGCAATCACTGTTGGTCAGTGTAGGGAAATTCTGTGACTATACTCTTTTACAAATCCTAGTTGCCAACGAGTTGGCTGAGCCTTGATCCCTATTGTGGGCCATTCACATTCACTTTTATTTTTTCTCTTTTTTGCCTCTGTAACAAGGCACCTGAGACCACTTTTATTTTATAAAGATGGAGTCTAGCTCTGTTGCCCAGGCTGGAGTGCAGTGATGTAGTCAAGGCTTACTGCATCCTGGAACTCCTGAGCTCAAGTGATCCTCCCACCTCAGCCTCCCAAATAGTTCAGGCTGCAGGCACACACCACCATGCCTCACTAAATTTTAAATTTTTTTGTAGAGAAGTGGTGTCATTATGTTGCCTAGGCTGGTCTCAAATTCCTGGGCACAAGTGATCCTCCTACCTCAGCCTCCCAAAGTCCCGGGATTATAGGTGTGAGCCACCGTGCCCAGCCTATATTCATTTTCAGAAATGAAGATTTTTCTTTCTATTGCTTATAGGCTCTTGTGGCAGCAACATGGCAGATAACAGCCAGACTGCTCAACACCAAGGCTAGGAACTCCAGCCCTTCACATCTGGCCTCTGCCCTACCCTCAAGTCCCATCACACTCTTGGCATTTGCGGGACAAGCCCTGGCATGACTGTGAATCTCAAATAGAGGTATGTTTCCCAAACTCTGTGCCATGGAACACTGGCTTCCAGTGACCTGGGAGCTCCCTGAGAGCAGGACAATGCCCACCTCACTCACCAGAGATGCCTAAGGCCTGGCACATACAGTAGGTCCTGTCATTCCCTGTAGCCTCCCCACAGAGACTGTCAAAAATTGCTAATGCCAACTATATCGCAAGTCGTCATGGCGGGTATTGGGAAAAGCTTTCAATTAGCAATAATCACACCTCGGATAAACCTCATTGGCTACGATACTGCCACTGCACAAAGCTGAGAAGTCTTATGTTAACACACATTACCAATCTCTCAGAGAAGGATACGATTTTCGGTGTCCCCTAAACTGACTGCCCCACCCTCTCTATCTCTAAGCAAATGGCCCACAGAACACACTCAGAGAGTCATGGTAATGCCTCTTGTTTGCCCCAGAAGACACACCCAGCACTGTGTCTCTGCTGAATAGCAACTCCCACTGCCTTGGGAGAAAACACAAGCTTCTTAGCCCAGCATCCAAGGCCTCTGTGCTAGAGTCTTGCTCACTTCTAACCTCCTATTGTTCTGAGGTGCAGCCCCCTGGTCCACCCCAGCACCACTGTGTCTTGTTGCCTGGGATCCTATGGGAGCATCCTTAAGTTTCCATTCACGGTCCACTCCTCTCTGAAGCCTCCCTTGATTGCTCCAAAGTCAGCTGCCTCTCCTCTGCTTTCATGGCTTGTCTCCACCTCTCCCAGCCTGGGCCCCACATGGCTCATATGGGCAGGGATGGAGCTGGGGCTCAGGATATCTTGGTTAACCAACTGAGGAGTCAGGCAAAGCCTATTTTATTTTATTTTATTTCTCTTCTTTTTTTTTTTGAGACAGAGTCTCACTCTGTTGCCCAGAGTCTCACTTTGTGGCCCACTCTATTGAGTGGTGCAATCTCAGCTCACTACAATCTCCACCTCCCTGGTTCAAGCGATTCTCCTGCCTTAGCCTCCTGAGTAGCTGGGATTACAGGTGCCCGCCACCATGCCCAGCTAATTTTTGTATTTCACCATATTAGCTAGGCTGGTCTTGAACTCCTGACCTTGTGATACACCTACCTGTGCCTCCCAAAGTGCTGGGATTACAAGCATGAGCCACCATGCCTTGCCGGCAAAGTCTATTTTCTGGGCTGTACCTGCAGCCATATATCTGTGGGCTCCTTTCTGAGACCTCCATGCAGGAAGGGCCTGGGCTGACGCTGAGCTTACCCACCTCTCCTGGTCTGGCTCTCTCGGATGAGGAAGGCCCCTCCAGGGTTCCCAGGTAACAATAACAGTTCCTCGGCTTTCTCCCTGCTCAGGCCCTCATACAGCCACCTGGAGGAGCAAGAGGCAAGAGAGAGGGACAAGGGACAGGATCAGCCTATAGGAAGAGAGAAGCCAAGATTTTACTACCGCCTCTGAGTGACACTCACAAAGCCCTCCCTCTCTGGGCCTCAAAGTTCTGTCTGTTCCATGAACAGCTGGCCTTGGGATCTCTGAGGGCCACACTATCTTTGTCCTCCTAGTCCTGGCTCCAGGGCCCTGGGAGGACAAACTGATGGGGACAGCCCCAGCTTTCTTTGCCTGGAGACCTCATTCCCAAGTAACCTGGGGTGATCCCAGCCTCTGTGCTATCCCTGCTCAGTCCCTCCAACACCCTGATTCTATCCACTAACCTTTCTAAGCCTCACCTTTCCAAGCACTGCCCCTCTGTTTTTTCTTTTTATTGAGACAGGCTCCTGCTCTGTGGCCTAGACTGGAGAGCAGTGGCACAATCGCGGCTCACTGCAGTCTTGACCATCTAGACTCAGGTGATCCTCCCACCTCAGCCTCCCTAGAAGCTGGGGCTATAGGCACACACCACTGCACCAGCCCCTCACGTGGTGTGCTCCCATCTCCCACATGGCCCTTTCAGCATTTCCACCACTAGATCATGGCCACCCTCCAAAGCTCAGAGCTTCACACCTCCTCTATAGGCCTTTCCAAGCCCCTCCTCTGGCTCCCACGTCTCATAGGCCAACCTATGCTAGGATGAGCTGTCTGTTCCTCCTGAGAGCAGGGCCTGGGCTTGATTCTCCTCTACCCCCAGCTTTGCTCAGCACAAAGCAGCACATAAAGGGGAGTTCTTGTGGGAAGAGAAAGCAGGAAACTCCCGTAAGGCAGGCCGGAGGTGGGAACTCACCCATGGGAGACTTTAGCCACGTGGACACTGGGGATGTTGTACTCTCTCCCTGAGACTTCAGACAGCACCGTCCACCAGTCTCCATCCCTGGAGAGAGAAAGGAGTGGGGGTACCTCTTTCAGACAAGCCAAGGCCCCAAAAACTGCACATTCTGGGTTTGCAGGGACCCTCTCAGGCTGGATCCTGTGGCCGTCTGTCCCACCTGTTTCCCAGGCTTCCCTACACTAGCTTGTCCAGGTACCTCCTGGGCCAGAGCTGGGGCTGGTGGTAGATGGCATGATTCCAGGTTCCCTGCTACAGGGCCCTGCCCACACACGGTTCTCCCTGCGGGGATGTCCAGCCACCTGAAACCCCAACACAGGGGTTCTGTGAGCATTTCAGCAAATGCCTTGTGCTTTTCTACTGGGAGGAAGGGACGCTTCTCGTGTGACAGCATCACCATTCTTTCCTTCCTTTATTTATTTTATTATTTTTTGAGATGGAGTCTCACTCTGTCAACAGGCTGGAGTACAGTGGCGTGATCTCGGCTCACTGTAACCTCTGCCTCCTGGGTTCAAGTGATTCTCCTGCCTCAGCCTCCTGAGTAGCGGGGACTACAGGTGCCCGCTACCACACCCAGATACTTTTTGTATTTTTAGTAGAGGCGGAGTTTCACCATGTTGGCCAAGCTGGTCTCGAACTCCTGACTTCATGATCCACCCACCTCAGCCTCCCAAAGGGCTGAAATCATAGGTGCGAGCTACCATGCCCAGCCTATTTAAATTTTTTTTTTTTTTTTAATAAAGATGGGGTTTCACCAATCATGGCCAGGCTGGTCTTGAAGTCCTGACCTCAGGTGATCCACCCACCTTGGCCTCCCAAAGTGCTAGATTACAGACGTGAGCCACTGCACCCAGCCTAAATTTTTTTTTTTTATGAGACAGAGTTTTGTTCTTGTCACCCAGGCTAGAGTACAATGGTATGATCTCAGCTCGCTGCAACCTCCGCCTCTGGGTTCTAGCAATTCTCATGCTTCAGCATCCCAAGTAGTTGGGATTACAGGTGCCTGCCACCAAGCCCATCTATTTTAGTAAAGACAGGGTTTGGCCAGGCTGGTCACCATGTTGGCCAGGCTGGTCTTGAACTCCTGACCTCAGATGATCCACCAACCTCAGCCTCCCAAAGTGCTGGGATTACAGGTGTGAGCCACCACACCTGGGCCATTCGTTTATTTTTAGAGATAGTCTTGCTCTGTCACCCAAGCTGGAGTGCACTGGCTTGATCATAGCTCACTGCAGCCTTGAACTCCTGAGCTCAAGCGATTCTCCCATCTCAGCCTTCCAAACAGCTGGGACGACAGGCACACACCACCATACCTGGCTCTATTAGTGCATATTCAGGTACCCAGTGCCCATGGACTTACTCGGAGATGATGATCAATGGCTCCCCGAGTCTCAGCGACAGCTCGGCCTGGCCTCCTGCCGGGAAACTGCCCAGGGCCACGGCTGTGGCCTTGCTTCTCTCTAGATGGAGGGACAGAGATGGTCACCTACTTGGCTAGCAACGCATGAGGTCTTGTGGAGTCTGGCTCCAGCATCAGCCCTCCACAAGCACCCTGAAGGAGTCCCATCCACTTCCTAAGAGGGCCACCCTGGAATCTGAAGCTTTTCCAGCAGAGCTTTGCAGAGCCCTGACAGTGCCCAGACAGAGAGAGAGAGAGACAGAAAGAGAAAGAAAAAATTTAGAGATAGGGTCTTGCTCTATCAGCACTGCTCTGCAGCCTGAGTGACAGGGCAAGATCCAGTCTCTAAAAATTAAGCTCACTGCAGACTTGACTGCCTGGGCTCAAATACAGGTGTGCTACTCTACACCTGGTTAATTAAAAGCAATTATTTAGTAGAGATGAGGTCTTGCTATGTTGCCCAGGACATGGTGGCCATGAAACTCAAGATGTAGAGGCCATAAGGCCCTATTTCAAGGCTGGGCATCAGGTGGAAGGGCTCCCTCAGCAAAGGACCCACGCCCTCACCAACCCCAGAGGGCAGCCTGCTCAAGCCAACCATGCTCCCTATGACTGCCAGGCCTCGTAGCCTGAAAATCCAGCCTTCAGTGGCTGCTGAAGGTCACTTCACCGCACCCTAGTATCCCTCCCTTCTTCCCCTTTGTCCTTTTTTGTAAGGATTCCTGAAAGAGATGCTTGTAGCACATTAACACTAACTACTTATTCTAAAATTAAGCACATAATTGGAAGTAAAACACTCCTCAGCAAATGCAAAAAGAACAGAAGTAATAACAGTCTCTCTGACCACAGTGAATCGAATTAGAACTCAGGGTTAAGAAACTCACTCAAAGGCCAGGCGTGGTGGCTCACGCCTGTAATCCCAGCACTTTGGGAGGCCAAGGTGGGCGGATCACGCGGTCAAGAGATCGAGACAATCCTGGCCAACATGGTGAAATCCCGTCTCTACTAAAAATACAAAAAAATTAGCTGGGCGTGGTGGCGCGTGCCTGTAGTCCCAGCTACTGGGGAGGCTGAGGCAGGAGAATTGCTTGAACTGGGAGGCGGAGGTTGCAGTGAGCCAAGGTCACGCCACTGCACTCCAGCCTGGTGCCTGGTGATGGAGTGAGACTGTCTCAAAAAAAAAAAAAAAAAAAAAGAAACTCACTCAAAACCACACAACTACATGGAAACTGAACAGCCTGCTCCTGAATGACTATTGGGTAAATAACAAAATTAAGGCAGAAATAAATAAGTGCTTTGAAGCCAATGAGAACAAAGGCACAACGTACCAGAATCTCTGGGACACAGCTAAAGGAGTATTTAGAGGGAAATTTATAGCACTAAATGCCCACAGGAGAAAGCGGGGAAAGATCTCAAATTGACACCTTATCACAATTAAAAGAACTAGAGAAGCAAAAACAAACAAATTCAAAGCTAGCAGAAGATAAGAAATAACTAAGATCAGAGCATAACTGAAGGAAATAGAGACACAAAAAACCCTTCAAATAAACCAGTGAATCCAAGAGCTGTTTTTGTTTTGTTTTGTTTTTGTTTTTTGAGACGGAGTCTTGCTCTGTCACCAGGCTGGAGCGCAGTGGCACGATCTTGGTTCACTGCAACCCCTGCCTTCAGAGATCAGGCAGTTCTCCTTCCTCAGCCTCCTGAGTAGCTGGGACTACAGATATGTGCCACCATGCCCGACTAATTTTTTGTATTTTAGTAGAGATGAGGTTTCACCATGTTGGCCAGGATGGTCTCGATCTCCGGATCTTGTGATCTGCCTGCCTCAGCTTCCCAAAGTGCTGGGATTACAGGGAGCTGTTTTCGTTCATTTGTTTGTTTGCTTTTTTTGAGACAATCTTGCTCTGTTGCCCAAGCTGGAGTGCAGTGGCGTGATCTTGGCTCACTGCAACCTCCAGCTCCTGGGTTCAAGTGATTCTCCTGCCTCAGCTTCCCGAGTAGCTGGGACTACAGGCACATGCCACCATACCTGGCTAATTTTTTGCATTTTTTTTAAGTAGAGATGGGCTTTCACCATGTCAGCCTGGATGGTCTCAACCTTCTGACCTTGTGATCTGCCTGCCTCAGCCTCCCAAAGTGCTGGGATTACAGGTGTGAGCCACCGAGGCTGGCCAGCGAGTGGAGAGTTCTATAGATGTCTATCAGGTCTGCTTGTTCCAGAGCTGAGTTCAAGTCCTGAATATCCTTGCCTTGTTGATCTAATACTGACAGTGGGGTGTTAAAGTCTCCCACTATTATTGTGTAGGAATCTAAGTTTCTTTGTAGATCTATAAGAACTTGCTTTATGAATCTGGGTGCTCCTGTATTGAGTGCATATATATTTAGGATAGTTAGCTCTTCTTGTTGCATTGATCCCTTTACCATTACGTAATGCCCTTTGTCTTTTTTGATCTTTGTTGATTTAAAGTCTGTTTTATCAGAGACTAGGACTGCAACCCCTGCTTTTTTTTTGCTTTTCATTTTCTTGGTAAATATACCTCATCCCTTTATTTTGAGCCTATGGGTGTCTTTGCATGTGAGATGGGTCTCCTGAATACAACACACCAATGGGTCTTGACTCTTTATCCAATTTGCCAATCTGTGTCTTTTAATTGGGCCATTTAGCCCACTTACATTTAAGGTTAATATTACTATGTGTGAATCTGATTCTGTCATTATGATGCTGACTGATTATTTCAGCCTTTTTGCACTGGTTTTTCCTCATCTTGGTGGATTCCTCTGGATCTAACCGTAGGCAGAGGTCCTGAGGCCACTCTGAGTCATGCCTGGGGCTGCTCAGGGTGGTGACCACCCCTATCCATGGGCAGAGCCTTCCCTGCCTGTGGGGCCTCAGCGAGCTATGCCCTCCCCTCCATCACGATCTATCCTCAGTCCAGGGAGGAGTGTGTTTTGGGCAACCCCATCCATGAGCCCTCCACCAAGGTGGAGTCTGCGTGGTTTCCTGGTCTCCTTCCTGCATGGCCTCTCAGTGCAGATGAGGTGGCTAAAAGGAGGCAGCTGCCTCTCCACCAGGAGTCCTACAGGGCTCAGGGGGTCACGGCATGTGAACCTGGGCATGTGAGCCTAAGGCTGGAATTAGGGAGATGAGGATACTGGGGGCTTAGGCTGAGGAGAAGGAGAGAAGTCCCTGCAATATAGGAGATTTTTCTTTTCTTTTTTTTTTTTTGAGACGGAGTGTCTCAGGCCAGGTGCACTGGCTCATGCCTGTAATCTCAGCATTTTGGGAGGCTGAAGTGGGCACATCACCTGAGGTTTGGAGCTTGAGACCAGCCTGGCCAACATGGTGAAGCCCTGTCTCTACTAAAAATATAAAAAGATCAGCCAGGTGTGGTAGTAGGTCCCTGTAATCCCAGCTACTTGGGAAGCTGAAGCAGAATTGCTTGAACCCAGGAAGCAGAGGTTGCAGTGAGCCAACATGGTGCCATTGCACTCCAGCCTGGGTGACAATGTGAAACTCTGTCTTAAAAAAAAAAAAAAAAAAAAAGACAAGGTTTCGCTCTGTTACCCAGGCTGGAGTGCAGTGGTGCAATTTTGGTTGACTGCAGCTTCTATCTCCCAGGTTTGAGCGATTCTCCTGTCTAAGCCTCCCAAGTAGCTGGGACTACAGGTGGGCACCACCACACCTAATTTTTTTTTTCTGAGATGGAGCCTCACTCTGTGGCCCAGGCTGGAGTGCAGTGGTGCAATCTGGGCTCTCAGCAATCACCACCTCCTGGGTTCAAGTGATTCTCCTGCGTCAGCCTCCCAAGTAGCTTGGACTACAGGGGTGTACCACCACACCTGGCTAATTTTTATATTTTTAGTAGAGATGGAATTTCACCATATTGTCCAGGCTTGTGTCAAACTCCTGACCTCATGATCCACCCACCTCAATCTCCCAAAGTGCCAGGATTACAGGCATGAGCCACTGTGCCCAGCTTTTTTTTTTTTTTTTTGGCAGAGTCTTGCTTTTTTTGCTCAGGCTGGAGTGCAATAGTGTGATCGGGGCTCACTGTGACCTTCATCTCTAGGGTTCAAATGATTCTCCTGCCTCAGCCTCCTGAGTAGCTGGGATCACAGGTGGTGGGTGCTGCCATGCCCGGCGAATTTTTGTATTTTTAGTAGAGATGGAGTTTCACCACATTGGTCAGGCTGGTCTCAAAGTCCTGACCTCAGGTGACCCACCTGCCTCAGCCTCCCAAAGTGCTGGGATTACAGGCCTGAGCCACTGCACTCAGCCAGTTTAGGCGATTTAACCAAAGTGCCAGTAGCAAAGCTTGTTCAAGAGCCATATAAAGTACATGTCCCTAGGCTCTGTCCAGGAAAGCAAGAATATACACTGTGAAGTAGTGTGATCTTATCTGTGCTGGTTGATTTTATGTGTCATTGTGACTAGGCCACACAACCCAGGTATTTGGTCAAATACCAGTCTAGATATTGCTATGAAGACTTTTTTTTTTTTTTTTGAGACGGAGTTTCGCTCTTGTTACCCAGGCTGGAGTGCAATGGCGCGATCTCAGCTCACTGCAACCTCCACCTCCTGGATTCAAGCGATTCTCCTGCCTCAGCTTCCTGAGTAGCTGGGACTACAGGCACGTGCCATTATGCCCAGCTAATTTTTTGGTATTTTTAGTAGAGATGGGGTTTCACCATGTTGACCAGGATGGTCTCCATCTCTTGACCTCATGATTGCTTGCTCCCAAAGTGCTGGGATTATAGGCGTGAGCCACTGCGCCCGGCCTTATGAGGACATTTTTTAAGATGAGATTGAATTTAAATCAGTAGTCTGAGTAAAGCAGATGACCCTCCCATAATGTGGGTGGGCCCCATGCAATCAGTTGAAGGCCTTAAAATAACAAGACTGATATCCTTTGAGGAAGAAGGAATTCTGCCTCCAGACTGTGGTTGGACTCAGGACTGTGGCATCAGCTCTTCCCTGGGTCTCCAGCCTGCTCTGCAGATTTCAGACTTACAGCCTCCACAATCATGTGAGCCAGCTCCTCAAAAATAAATGTCTACACACACATACACATACACACAGACACACACACACACACCCCCCACTACTGCCACCACCTATTGGTTCTGTTTCTTGGAGAACCCTAATACATTATCAAAATCCCAATAAAGATGTGACTTGAGAAAGGATTTGTTACCTGTTATGGAGCTATGGAGAACAAGAAACAGACCTGGGGCCATAGTTCCAACATCAAAATACTAGAATTACTAGGATATTTTGATTGTTCATCTGTCCTAAAAACTGGGAGTTTTAGTCAAGACTCTTTCAGAAAATCACAGTTATAGACTCAGCATATGCATTGTCTATGCTATTTTCCCCCACTAAGATGGCCCTGGAAAGGGTCAGGTACAGTGGGTCATGCCTGTAATCCCAGCATTTTGGGAGGCTGAGGCGGGCAGATCACCTGAAGTCAGGAGTTCGAAACCAGCCTGGCCAACATGGTGAAACCCCATCTCTACTAAAAATACAAAAGTTAGCTGGGCATGGTAGCATGCGCTTGTAATCCCAGCTACTTGGGAGGCTAAGGCAGGAGAATTGGTCGAGCCTGGGAGGCGGAGGTTGCAGTGAGCTGAGATCGTTCCATTGCACTCCAGCCTGGGCAACGAGGACGAGACTCCGTCTCAAAAAAACAAAACAAAACAAAACACAGCCCTGGCCAGGTGCAGTGGCTCATGCCTGAAATCTCAGCACTTCAAGAGGCCAAGGCGGGAGGATCACTTGAGCCCAAGAGTTCAAGACCAGTCTGGGCAACATAGGGAGACCCCATCTCTACAAATAATTTAAAAAATTAGCCAGGAAGCCACGTGTGGTGGCTCAGGCCTGTAATCCCAGCACTTTGGGAGGCCGAAGCAGGAGGATCACGAGGTCAAGAGATGGAGACCATCCTGGCCAACATGGTGAAACCCCGTGTCTACTAAATATATAAAAATTAGCTGGGTGTAGTGGTGCGTGCCTGTAATCCCAGCTACTCGGGAGGCTGAGGCAGGAGAATTGTTTGAAACTGGGAGGTGGAGATTGCAGTGAGCTGAGATCATGCCACTGTACTCCAGCCTGGTGACACAGTGAGACTCTGTCTCAAAAAATAAAACAACAGCAAAACAAAAACAACAACAACAAAAAACCCAAAAACAACAGCTGGGCGTGGTGGCTCATGCCTATAATCCCAGCACTTTGGGAGGCTGAGGCGGGTGAATCACGAGGTCAAGAGATTGGGACCATCCTGGTCAACAAGGTGAAACCCCGTCTCTACTAAAAATACAAAAATTAGCTGGGCATGGTGGTGTGCGCCTGTAGGCCCAGCTACTCGGGAGGCTGAGGCAGGAGAATTGCTTGAACCCAGAAGGTGGAGGTTGCGGTGAGCCAGGATCGTGCCATTGCACTCCAGTCTGGGTAACAACAGCAAAACACTATCTAAAAAAAAAAAAAAAACCCAAAACAACACCCACCATCATAAAAATAAAAGAGACAGCCCTAATTTCACTTCAGGTAATTACACAGTACCTCTTAGGTCCATTAGAACAGTATAGCAAAGCTTTCTGCAACAATGGAAATGTTCTGCAATTCTGTACTGTCTAACATGGTGGTCACTTGCTACATGTGCTATTGAGCACTTAAAATATGGCTGGGGTGATGGAAGACGTTTTCTTTATTTTTATTTTTTTGAGATGGATTCTCACTCTGTCACCCAGGCTGGAGGGAAGTGATGCAATCTCGGCTCACTGCAACTTCCACCTCCTAGGTTCAAGTCATTCTTTTTCCCTGCCTCCTGAGTTGCTGGGATTATAGGCATGCGCCATCAGAGCTGGCTAATTTTTGTATTTTTAGTAGAGACAGGGTTTCACCATGTTGACCACGTTGGTCTTGAATTCCGCAGGTGATCTGCCCGCCTTGCCTTCCCAAAGTGCTGGGATTACAGGCATGAGCCACCATGCCCGACCTTGGCCTAAAATGTTAAGTTGAAGCAGTTGTGTGTGTCTGGGGGCTACTGCAGTGGACAATTCAGCTCTGGGGGGCTGCAGAGGTGGGGCTGGCCAGCTTGGTGTTTGGATAACAACTGGTTGAGGAGGAGGGAAGCCCTGGGGAATGCCTGGGGGATTATCATGCCCTCCTGGTTTAATATTCTGCTTTGTGCCTGTTGCTTTCTCCTACTTTCTTATTTATCTGGTTGTTGACTGTTCTTACTGCTAAGATAGGCTCCACAGGAGCAGGGACCCTGCTGCATGGCTCAGTAGGCAGGGCCTGGTGTGTAGCAGGCACTCAGTGGTGCTTACGCTGTGTTGGAGCTGCTGGCCAGGAAGGCCCATAAAGGCAGTGACATCTAGGACTGTGTGGGAAGGGCCTGGCTGTAGCAGACCACAAGGCCTACCTGCTTCCATGGACACAGGTCCCTGGCCTTGGACAGAGGGGCTCAAGCTTGGACTTGGCAGGCATTTTCTTCTGCTGGGCAGACTTCCCATTGTTCCTCAGCAGAGAACAGAGAAGCACACCATCGAGGGAAATCTGAAAGAGACACCGTGATGTGGACAGAGCTGAGGCTCCTGCCCTGATCTCAGATACCCCTCCCTCCCCAGATCGGCCCTGGCTATCTCCTCACAGAGCATGTGAATGACCTCCCTCCTGTGGGACCAGGCTCCAGCCTCTCTGCCAGACCCTGAAGGCTTCCTGCACATTGGACCCCTGTTTTCTGCATATCTCATCTTTTTATGCCACAACAGGCGCAATGCTTTCTTTCTGGGCCTCTACTTGTGTCCCTCCCATGGTCAATCATGCCCTCTCCTATCCTTCAGTCCTGTTTGGATCCCAATCTTCCTTCCCCAGGAAGCTTTCCCAGCCCCCCAGCCTTTGTTGATCACTCCTTTGAATTCCTATGGCTCACTTAGAACCTCTTCTCTGACCTGGGATCATACTCTGCTACTGGGTGGCAGAGGACAATGACAGGACATTAAGCTCCCTCCAGGCATACCAGGACCTGTGGTTTGGGTCAGAGGTCGGCAAGAGGGGCTGGGCACAGTGGCTGATGCCTATAATCCCAGCACTTTGGGAGACCAAGGTGGGTGGATCAACTGAGGTCAGGAGTTCGAGACCAGCCTGACCAATATGGTGAAACCTCATCTCTACTAATAACACAAAAATTAGCTGGGCATGGTGGCATGCACCTGTAGTCCCATCTACTCAGGAGGGAGGCTGAGACAGGAGAATTGCTTGAACCTGGGATGCTGAAGTTGCAGTGAGCCAAGATTGGGCCATTGCACTTCAGCATGGGTGACAGAGAGAGACTCCCTCTCAAAAAAAAAAAAAAAAAAAGAGAGGTCTGCAAGGGGGATCTGAGCAGGCTTGAGAGTTGGTGTCACAGCAAGCAAAGGCGACATGGATACACTGTTCTTGGTGTCACAAAGCCAAGTAAGAGTACCTGTCTCAGCCTCCTGAGTTGCTGGGATTGCAGGGGTAAGCACTTAGTAAGAGGCTGATCGCTTTAAGAGGCCGAGGGGGGCTGACTGCTTGAGCTCAGGAGTTCAAGACCAGCGTGGCCAACATAGTGAAATCCCATATCTACCAAAAAACCCACACAAATTAGCTGAGTGTGGTGGCACACATCTGTAGTTCCAGCTATTCAGGAGGCTGAGGTGGGAGGGCGGGAGGATTGCTTGATCCTGGGAGATGGAGTTCACAGTGAGCCAAGATCATCCCACTGCACTCCAGCCTGGGCAACAGAGTGAGATGCTGTCTCGAAGAAGAAAAAAAAAAAAATGGACCGTGGGGTTGGGTTGTATGATGCAGTGATGACTTGCAGGGCTCTGGGGGATTGACTGTTGAGCCACTTCCCTTCTCTGTGCCCCCTTTTCCTCATCTGAAAAATGGGGATAAAGACATCCAACATATAGGTCCAAGAGATAATGCACATGAAAACCCTAGCCAGCCCCATGTTTCCTTTACCACGTCCTGAATGTCACTTCATCAGAGGCCTCTCCTGGGAGCCTCCCCAGGAGGTCTTGTTCTGTCACCCAGGCTAGAGTGTAGTGGCACGGTCCTAGCTCATTGCATCCTTGAACTCCTGGGTTCAGGGGATCCTCCCACCTCAGCTAGGATTACAGGCATTAGCTGCCACCACAACCAGCTTCTTTGCAAGTTTTAAGTTATGGGCTCTTGCCATGTTGCCCAGGCTGGTCTTGAACTCCTCCCACCTCAGCTTCCCAAAGTCCTGGGATTACAGGTGTGAGCCATGGCACCCAGCCTCTCTTCAAAAGTTTTCATTATTCATTTGAGAGTTTGCTTGTTTAATCTGCCACTATCCTGTAACTGCAAAAGGACAAAGACTTCTTTTGTTTGCCTATTACTCAGCATTTAGTGAGGCATGACAGAAGGTACTTGGTACACATTAACTAAATGAGACTGTTAGTTCTTCAGACAGGTATCTTATCCTTAGAATAGTTTAAATTCCCAGATTCCCAGGGTAGTGCTGATTTTCCCAAACACTATATTTTGTTTGAGGAGTGGGAGGCAGAGTTTTGTATTTCTTTTCAGATGATTTCATTCTTTACAGTAGGGACAAGGCACAATTACACGTTTGGCCCAATGCAGCTGGTATTCATGGAGCTCCTGCTCTGTGTCAGGCACCTGCCAAGGGCTGGCGGTCCCTGGAGGAGGAATCCATGCTTCGTACCCTGGAGCAGCTCACTGGATGGGGTTGTGACAGAGTGGGCTCCTTCCTTGCCTTTGAATCCCACACTGCCTAGATGAGGACGGTTATTCATTAATATCGTGGAGTGATTTCTGTGGCCTCCTGGGCCAGTCCTGTTCAGGGAGTAAAGATCCTACCTTAGAGGCTGGAACAGCCCTCTCTATTCTTCAGCCTGTAATTGACATGGGAATAACAATACCTGGGCCAGGCGTGGTGGCTCACGCCTGTAATCCTAGCACTTTGGGAGGCTGAGGCAGGCAGATCACATGGGGGTCAGGAGTTTGAGACCTGCCTGGCCAACATGGTAAAACCCTGTCTCTACTAAAAATACAAAAATGAGCCGGGAGTGAAGGCTCACACCTGTAATCCCAACACTTTGGGAGGCTGAGGCAGGCAGATCATATGAGGTCAGGTATTTAAGACCAGTCTGGCCAAGATGGTGAATATAAAAATAAGCCAGGCATGGTGGCGGGCGCCTGTAATCCCAGCTACTCGGGAGGCTGAGGCAAAAGAATTGTTTGAACCTGGGTGGCAGAGACTGCAATGAGCCGAGATTCTGCCATTGCCATTGCACTCCAGCCTGGGCAACAGAGTAAGATTCTGTCTCAGAAAAAAAAAAACCTGCTTGCTGCTGCCTCCCTATGGGAAGTTCAACATTCATCTGGAAGGAAGCTCTTGAACACAGAATGGGCATATCACATGGAAATGGCTCCTGAAAGCCACTTCCTGCTCAGACCTTAAGGATCCTGCAGCCTGGGTACACTGAGACGGCGCTGATGTTCTTGAGGAGGATTTTTGGTTTTGTTTTAAATTATAGGGGGTCTTGCTGTGTTTCCCAGGCTGGTCTCAAATTCCTAGGCTCAAGCAATCCTCCTGAGGAGGTTGTTTACAATCCTAAGACCAGGAAACTCCAGGGAGAGAACCTCTGCCTTGGGTAGCATGAGTGCTCCCTTGAACCTGGTTGGAGCTGCGTGGCCTCAGGCAAAGCATCTGTGAATGAGGGTGCTCTATAGGCACCACAGGACTGTGTTGCAGGAGTCTGGCACTGAATGGGTGCTCAGTAAGGCTTAGTTTCCTTTCCCCTCCTTCAAGAAGACCACAATCACCACCTGCAATAGACCCAGAGGCTCCTTCCTGCCGCAGGTGGAGCTGGGGGCTGGGCCCAAAGGCAGATGCAGACAGGGGAGTTATACTCAGGCTGAAAGCCTCCCCAAAGTCTCTGCAAGGACTCGGGCAAATTAAGGCAAAGATGCCCCTAGGGGCAAAATAAAGACTATGCGGTGGGCAGGCCTAGGAGAAGGCAGTATTAGTCACAACTTTTATAAGACAGCATCTGATCATTAATGACACAAAATTTTGAGCAACTTACTATGTGCCAGGCACTTTCCGGAGGACATGAGACACTGGGTGAAAGGAAAAAGTTAGTCAAAGGCACCGAGATCAGCACACTGCCCAGAACATAAATATTTATATATATTTAAATGTCTCACTTGAGTCCCATTTCAGATACAGTGACCAACAAGTCCCTGAGAGGACCTTGTGCTTCTGGTCATGTAGCCCATTCGTGCAGGGCTGGGCCTGCCGTCATGTGTATTTTGTGCTTCTTAAGATCATTTTTCAGCGATGGGGGTAAGAGTGATGAATTTGGCCAGGCACGGTGGCTCATGCCTTTAATCGCAGCAATTCAGGAGGTTTTCTGGCTCAGGAGGATTGCTTGAGGCCAGGGGTTCGAGACCAGTCTGCGCAACATAGTGAGGACCGCCCCCCCCACCCACTTTATCTCTACAAAAATATAACAAATTAGCTGGCATGGTGGTACATGCCTGAAGTCCAGCTACTCGGGAGGCTGAGGCAGGAGAATCGCTTGAGCCCAGGGGTTCAAGTCTACAGTTAGTCATAATCCTGCCACTGCACTTCAGCCTGGGTGACAGAGCAAGACCCCAACTCAAATAATAATAATGAATTTGGATTGAGTTAAAGGGAGACTTCTCCCTCTCTCTCAGCTGAAAAATATCACCCTTTTGAGAGTGAGATTGCACTGTAAGCTCTACAGCTGAAATGTCTTGAGAGATGATAGCCCTCACGTTCCTGACTTCGGAATCTGACTGCAGCACAGAGAGGGGCCCAAAGTCACACAGCAAGTGCACAACCGAGATGAGACTAGCTGCAGGGAAGCTCCAAGAGGCAGTCAAAGGTGGAGCAGATAGGTCTTGGTTCTTCTGGGACCCCCAGAAACCACCCCTCTTTACAGCCTCAGTAGAACCACTTCCCTTTCTCCTTGAGCTCGTTTTTTTCCCCAACAGCAAATAAAGCCCGGTCCCAATCTGGGCCAGGGAGACCATTCTTCTCCACCTGTCACCAGGCCACCTGTAAACAAAACCAAGTGTACTTACTGGTTTGTCCTCAAAAGCTTGGGAAGAGGGCTCCGCTGAGATGCATGCTCTGGTTTTGAGGGACCTTCTGGAAGTCTGCCAGTGTTCTTGGTGCTAGGGCACCCAGAACTCTCCCAGCCTGGGAGGATCTTCAGGGAGAGGCTAGGTGTTGGTTTGGGTAGCTCAGCGTCCCTCTGCGGTCGGCAGTTTGTACATCAAGGATGGATCAGCTGCCTCTTGCTCCTTACGGATTCTGGACTAGGGAACCCTCCCAAGCACAGCCAAGCCAGGAGGAAGGCCCAGGGCCCTTTGAGCTCTACCATAGAGACACAGGCACAGGGTCCTTTGAGCTCCAGCTCCGTCTGCACACTCTGTGGTTCTCACAGCCACCCGTTTCCTCTGACGGCATCACGGACCATCGAGGAGCCACCTTCCCCGAGTTCCTGTTTCTAAGGGAGCAGCTGCTGTCTTGTCACGACTGTGGAGCTAAAGGTTTTTCTCTGGCTTTGTGGCTTGGTCTTGTCCAAGGAACACAGGACTGAGGAAAATGAACAGGAGTTCCCATGCTGGCCTGACCATAATAGTCACCCAGAGGGGCTTAATTGTAGCAATTTCTGGAAAGTCCCACACCTTCTAAATCCAAGTCATCAGATAGGGAGCCGAGGAATCTAAATTTTAAACCCTCCAAGAGATTCCCTTGATGGGCACGTTTGGGAAGCACTGCCTTTTCAACTTTTATTGTGTATAGGAATCACTCGGAGATCTTGTTTTTTGTTTTTTTGAGACGGAATTTTCGCTCTTGTTACCCAGGCTGGAGTGCAACGGCGCGATCTCGGCTCACCGCAACCTCCGCCTCCTGGGTTCAGGCAATTCTCCTGCCTCAGCCTCCTGAGTAGCTGGGATTACAGGCACGTGCCACCATGCCCAGCTAATTTTGTGTATTTTTAGTAGAGACGGGGTTTCACCATGTTGACCAGGTTGGTCTCGATCTCTCGACCTCGTGATCCACACGCCTCAGCCTCCCAAAGTGCTGGGATTACAGGCTTGAGCCACCGCGCCTGTTGGAGATCTTGTTAAACTGCAGGTTCTGATTCGGTAGGTCTGGGGCGGAATTCAATATTTTGCATTTCTAATAAGATCCCAGGTGACACCCATGTTGCCAGTCTGGGGACCACACTTTGAATAGCAATATCTGGACAGTGGTCTCAAAGTGTGGTCCTTGGGCCAGGCGCGGTGGCTCAAGCCTGTAATCCCATTTTGGGAGGCTGAGGCGGGTGGATCATGAGGTCAAGAGATCGAGACCATCCTGGTCAACATGGTGAAGCCCTGTCTCTACTAAAAATACAAAAAATAAGCTAGGCATGGTGGTGCGTGCCTGTAATCCCAGCTACTCGGGAGGTTGAGGAAGGAGAATTGCCTGACCCCAGGAGGCGGAGGTTGCGATGAGCCGAGATTTTTTGTAGAGATGAGGTTTCACTGTGTTGCCCAGGCTGGTCTCAAGCTCCTGGCCTCAATTGGCCCTCCTACCTCCACCTCCCAAAGTGTTGATTATCAGACCAGCATGAGCCACAGTTCATGCCCAAGCTTGAGAATCAGTGGTGTAGGATAAAGAATCTAATTCTGACTGAATTGTCTTTGATTAACGTGTTACATTCAGTCCACCCTTCATTAAGATTTAACCACACCTCAATATTCCTGGAGACAAAGGGCCCACTGCATTGAAATGACTCCTGACTCCAGCTCAGCCCATGCAGCCCTTTCTGGCTAAAGCGCTCCTGCTCAGGTTCTCCCTTGATTCTGCGGAACCTGGGGAAGGCTGGTTTGATTTTTATCTTTGTAGGCACTTGGCATAGAGAGCTGAAGGAGCCAGAGTGGAGGCACACTGCTGCAATAAAGTTCTACTGGGTGACAGCCCAATAACGTTAGAATGGTTGACAGCCACTCAGGGATGTGGCCCTTAGCAGGGAGGGACTTGAGCTCAAGCCCACCTTCCCACTCCTGCTGCCATACAACTCTAATGCCCATTTTCTTATGACAGGCAAACTTTTTTTTTTTGAGATGGAGTCTTGCTGTCACCCAGGCTGGAGTGCAGTGGTGTGATCCCAGCTCACTGCAACCTCTGCCTCCTGAGTTCAAGCGATTCTCCTGCTTTAGCCTCCTGAGTAGCTGGGACTACAGGTGTCCACCAACATGCCTGGCTAATTTTTTTTTAAAATATTTTTAGTAGAGATGGGGTTTCACCGTGTTAGCCAAGATGGTCTTGATCTCCTGACCTCATGATCCGCCCGCCTCGGTCTCCCAAAGTGCTGGGATTACAGGCGTGAGCCATGGCGCCCAAACATGACAGGCAAACTTTCTTTTTTTTTCCTTACCTTTTCCCTCCCTCCCTTCCTTTTTTTTTTTTTTTTTTTTGAGACAGAGTCTTGCTCTGTCACCAAGGCTGGAGTGCTGTGGTTCAAACTCAGCCCACTGCAACCTCTGACTCTCGGGTTCGAACAATTCTCCTGCCTCAGCCTCCCAAGCAGCTGGGACTACAGGCACATGCCACCACACCCAGCTAATTTTTTGCATTTTTAGTAGAGATGGGGTTTCACCATATTGGCCAAGCTGGTCTTGATTTCCTGACCTCATGATCCACCCATCTCGGCCTCCCGAAGTGCTGGGATTACAGGCGTGAGCCACTGCACCTGGTCAACAGGCAAACTTTCAAAACAAGCCTCAAGGTGCAGTTCATGAATGGAGCAGGAAGTAGGGAATCTCTGGTCTCTTCTTAAAATAATCCTGCCGTATAACTCTCCTTTTCCACTTAGGGAGGCACCTAAGAATTACAAAATTTAAAATGCTAGGTCTTGCACTAAGAAATATGCATTGGTGTTCCTCCCTGGCTACTGGCCAGAGCTCCTAAAACCCTTCTAATTTCCTAGGTGACAGAAGTGTTTTCTATTCTAATGAGGCAACACTTGGTGGGCTCCTGGATGGGGACTGGTCACTAGAAAGACAAACCCATCATTATGAGCTTGGAGCTTTCAGTCCCACCCTCATCTTCTGGAGTGAGGAGAGGAGCTGGAGGTTGAGTTAATAATTGATAATGCTTATGTGATGACTTCTATAAAAATCCCTAAACTACGAGGTTCAGAGAGCTTCCAGGTTGGTGAAAACATCCAACACACCAGAAGGGTGACAGACCCCAACTCCCTGAGACCCCTCCAGACCTTGCCCTATGTACCTTTTTTTGGGGTGACGGAGTCTTGCTCTGTTGCCCAGGCTAAAGTGCAGTGGTACAGTCTAGGCTCACTGCATTCTCTGCCTCCTGGATTCAAGTGAGCCTCCCGAGTAGCTGGGATTATAGGCATGTGCCACCAGGCCCAGCTAATTTTTGTATTTTTAGTAGAGATGGGGTTTCATCATGTTGGCCAGGCTGATCTCGAACTCCTGACCTCAGGTGATCTGCCTGCCTTGGCTTCCCAAAGTGCTGGGATTACAGGCGTGAGCCACAGCATCCAGCCTCCTACATACTTCTTTATCTGGCTATTTACCTGTATCCTTTTTATTTTATTTTTTATTTTTATATTTTATTGTGTTTTAGGTTTTGGGGTACATGTGAAGAATATGCAGGATTGCTGCATAGGTACATACATGGCAATGTGGTTTGCTGCCTTCCTCCCCATCACCTATATCTGGCATTTGTCCCCATGTTATCCCTCCCCAACTTCCCACCCCCTGCTGTCCCTCCCCTAGTTACCCCCAACAGACCTCAGTGTGTGATGCTCCCCTCCCTGCGTCCATGTGTTCTCATTGTTCAACATCCGCCTATGAGTAAGAGCATGCAGTGTTTCATTTTCTGTTCTTGTGTCAGTTTGCTGAGAATGATGGTTTCCGGGTTCATCCATGTCCCTACAAAGGACATGAACTCATTGTTTTTTTTTTATGGCTGCATAGTATTCCATGGTGTATATGTGCCACATTTTCCCTGTCCAGTCTATCATCGATGGGCCTTTGGGTTGGTTCCAAGTCTTTGCTATTGTAAACAGTGCTGCAGTGAACATTCGTGTGCATGTATCCTTATAAGAGAACAATTTATAATCCTTTGGATATATACCCAGTAATGGGATTGCTGGGTCAAATGGAATTTCTATTTCTAGGTCCTTGAGGAATCGCCACACTGTCTTCCACAGTGGTTGAACTAATTTACACTCCCACCAACAGTGTACACGTGTTTGTATTTCTCCACATCCTCTTCAGCATCTGTTGTCTCCAAATTTTTTAATGATCACCATTCTAACTGGCGTGAGATGGTATCTCAATGTAGTTTTGATTTGCATCTCTCTGATGACCAGTGACGATGAGCATTTTTTCATATGATTGTTGGCCTCATATATGTCTTCTTTTGAAAAGTGTCTGTTTATATCCTTCACCGACTTTTGAAAGGGTTTTTTTTTTTTTCTTGTAAATCTGTTTTAATTCTTTGTAGATTCTGGATATTAGCCCTTTGTCAGATGTGTAGATTGCAAAAATTTTTTTCCGATTCACCCTAACGATTGTTTCTTTTGCTGTACAGAAGCTCTGGAGTTTAATTAGATCCCATATGTGTATTTTGGCTTTTGTTGCCAATGCTTTTGGTGTTTTAGTAAAAAGTCCTTGCCTATGCCTATGTCCTGAATGGTTTTCTTCTAGGGTTTTTATGGTGTTGGGTCTTATGTTTAAGTCTTTAATCCATCTGGAGTTAATTTTAGTGTAAGGTGTCAGGAAGGGGTCCAGTTTCTGCTTTCTGCACATGGCTAGCCAGTTTTCCCAACACCATTTATTAAACAGGAAATCCTTTCCCCATTGCTTTTGTGAGGTTTGCAAAGATAAGATGGTTGTAGATGTGTGGCATTGCCTCCAAGGACTCCGTTCTGTCCAATATCATACTGTTTTGATTACTGTAGCCTTGTAGTATAGTTTGAAGTCAGGTAGCGTGATGCCTCTAGCTTTGTTCTTTTTGCTGAGAATTGACTTGGCTATTCAGGCTCTCTTTTGGTTCCATATGAAGTTTAAGGTGTTTTTTTCCAGTTCTGTAAAGAAGGTCACTGGTAGCTTGATGGGGATAGCATTGAATCCATAAATTACCTTGGGCAGTATGACCATTTTCACCATATTGATTCTTCTTAACCATGAGCATGGAATGTTTCTCCATCTGTTTGTGTCCTCTCTTGTTTCCTTGAGCAATTGTATTCCTAGGTATTTTAGTCTCTTTGTAGCAATTGTGAATGGCAGTTTGTTCTTGATTTGGCTCTCTTTAAGTCTGTTATTGGTGTATAGGAATGCTTGTGATTTTTGCACACTGATTTTTGTATCCTGAGACTTTGCTGACGTTGCTTATCAGTTTCAGGATATTTGGGGCTGAGATGATGGGGTCTTCTAAATATACAATCATGTCATCTGCAAAGAGAGACAATTTGACTTCCTCCTTTCCTAATTGAATAAGCTTTATTTCTTTTTCTTGCTTGATTGCTCTGGCTAAAACTTCCAATACTATATTGAATAGGAGTGGTGAGAGAGGGAATCCTTGTCTAGTGCCAGATTTCAAAGGGAATGCTTCCAGTTTTGCCCATTCAGTATGATATTGGCTGTGGGTTTGTCATAAATAGCTTTTATTATTTTGAGATACATTCTGTCAATACCTAGTTTATTGAGAGTTTTTAGCATAAAGGACTATTGAATTTTGTCAAAGGCCTTCTCTGCATCTATTGAGATAATGATGTCGTTTTTGTCTTTGGTTCTGTTTATGTGGTGAATTACGTTAATAGACTTGCGTGTGTTGAACCAGCCTTGCATCCCTGGTATGAGGCCTCCTTGATCGTGATGGATAAGCTTTTTGATGTGCCATTGCAATTGGTTTGCCAGTATTTTATTTTATTTTATTTTTCATTTTTTTGAGATGGAGTTTCACTCTTGTTACCCAGGCTGGAGTGCAATGGCGCGATCTCGGCTCACCACAACCTCCGCCTCCTGGGTTCAGGCAATTCTCCTGCCTCAGCCTCCTGAGTAGCTGAAATTACAGGCATGCGCCACCATGCCCAGCTAATTTTTTGTATTTTTAGTAGAGATGGGGTTTCACCATGTTGACCAGGATGGTCTCAATCTCTTGACCTTGTGATCCACCTGACTGGGCCTCCCAAAGTGCTGGGATTACAGCTGTGAGCCACTGTGCCCGGTGCCAGTATTTTATTGAAGATTTCTGCATCTATGTTCATCATAGATATTGGCCTGAAGTTTTCTTTTCTTTTTGAGTCTGCTGGGTTTTGGTATCAGGATGATGTTGGTCTCGTAAAATGATTTGGGAAGGATTCCCTCTTTTTGGATTGTTTGGAATAGTTTCAGAAGGAGTGGTACCAGCTCCTCTTTGTATGTCTGGTAGAATTTGGCTGCGAACCCATCTGGACCAGGGGTTTTTTGATTGGTAGGCTATTGCTGCCTCAACTTCAGCTCTTGTTATTGGTCTATTCAGGGTTTTGACTTCTTCCTGGTTTAGGCTTGGGAGGATGCAAGTGTCCAGGAATTTATCCATTTCTTCCAGGTTTATTGGTTTATGTGCATAGAGTTGTTTGTAGTAATCTCTGATGGTGGTTTATTGCATCTATTTGATTATTCTCTTTTCTTTTTTATTAATCTGGCTAGTGATCTGTTTTGTTATCTTTTCAAAAAACCAGCTCCTCGATTTATTGATTTTTTGAAGGTCTTTTTGTGTATCTCCTTCAGTTCTGCTCTGATCTTAGTTATTTCTTGTCTTCTGCTAGGTTTTGAGTTTTTTTTATTTTGATTCTCTAGCTCTTTCAATTTTGACGATAGGGTGCCAATTTTAGATCCTTTCTTGCTTCTCATGTGGACACTTATTGCTATATATTTTCCTTTAGACACTGTTTTAAATGTGTCCGAGAGATTCTGGTATTCTGTGTCTTCGTTCTTGTCGGTTTCGAAGAACATCTGTATTTCTGCCTTCATTTAATTGTTTATCTAGTCAACATTCAACAGCCAGTTGTTAAGGTTCCATGAAGTTGTGCAGTTCTGAGTTAGTTTCTGAGTTCTGAGTTCTAACTTGATTGTATGTGGTCTGAGAAACTGTTCGTTATGATTTCTGTTCTTTTGCATTTGCTGAGTGATTTACTTCCAATTATGTAGTCCATTTTAGAGTAGGTGTGGTGTGGTGCTGAGAAGAATGTATATTCTGTGGATTTGGTGTGGAGAGTTCTGTAAATGTCTATTAGGTTTGCTTGGTCCAGGTCTGAGTTCAAGTCCTGGATATCCATGTTAATTTTCTGTCTGGTTGATCTAATATTGACAGTGGAGTGTTAAAGTCTCCCACTATTATTGTGTGGGAGTCTAAGTCTCTTTGTAAGTCATAAGAACTTGTTTTATGTATCTGAGTGCTCCTGTATTGAGTGCATATATATTTAGGATCGTTTTTTGTTGCATTGATCCTTTTACCATTATGGGACATCCTTCTTTGTCTCTTTTGATCTTTGTTGGTTTAAAGTCTATTTTATCAGAGACTAGGATTGCAACTCCTGCTTTTTTTTTGCTCTCCATTTGCTTGGTAAATCTTCCTCCATCTCTTTATTTTGAGCCAATGTGTATCCTTGCATGTGACATGGGTTTTGACTTTTAATCCAATTTGCCAGTCTGTGTCTTTTGATTGGGGCATTTAACCCATTTACATTTAAGGTTAATATTGTTATGTGTAAATCTGATGCTGCCATTTTGATGCTAGCTGGTCGTTTTGCCCGTTAGTTGATGCAGTTTCTTCATTGTGTCAATGCTCTTTACCATTGGTATGTTTTTGAAGTGGCTGGTACTGGTTGTTCCTATGTTTAGTGCTTCTTTCAGGAGCTCTTGTAAAGCAGGCCTGGTCATGATGAAATCTCTGAGCAATTGCTTGTTCGTGAAGGATTTTATTTCTGCTTCACTTATGAAACTTAGTTAGGCTGGATATGAAATTCTAAGCTGAAAGTTCTTTTCTTTAAGGATGCTGAATATTGGTCCCCACTCTCTTCTGGCTTGCAGGGTTTCTGCTGAGATCCCACTGCGAGTCTGATGGGCTCCCCTTTGTGGGTAACCCGACCTTTCTCTCTGGCTGCCCTTAGCATTTTTTCTTTCATTTCAACCCTGGTCAATCTGACGATTATGTGCCTTGGGGTTGCTCTTTTGAGGAATATCTTTGTGGTGTTCTCTGTATTTCCTGGACTTGAATATTGGCCTGCCTTGCTAGGTTGGGGAAGTTTTCCTGGATAATATCCTGAAGAGTGTTTTCCAGCTTGAATTCATTCTCTCCATCACATTTAGGTACACCTATCCAATATAGATTAGGTCTTTTCACATAATCCCATATTTCTTGGAGGCTTTGTTCGCTCCTTTTTATTTCTTTTCTCTAATCTTGCCTTTTTATTTTTTAAATACGTATTTTTTCTGTTTCTAGAATAGAGACAGAGTCTCACTATGTTCAGCCCAGGCTGGTCTTAAACTCCTGGGCTCAAATGATCCTCCTGCTTTGGCCTCCTAAGTGCCATGTGAGACACCATGCCCAGCCTCATATCCTTTAGAATAATAAACCAATAAATTCAGTGTTTCCCAGAGTCTGTGAGCAATCTTAAAAAACTAACAAACCTGAGGGAGGAGGTCCAATTTGTAGCCTGGTTGAACAGAAGTGTGAGTAACCTGGGAATCCATTGCTTTCAAATGGCATGTGAAGCAGGGGGCAGTCTTGTGGGTCTGAACCCTTAACCTGTGGGGTCTAACTCCAGGAAGCTGGTGTCATAATTGAATTTAGGACACCTACTGTCTGGGGTGAAGCCTTGGTTGGTATGGGAAAAAAGCCCATGCATTTAGTCACAGAAGTGTTGAGTGTAGTGGAAGAAACTGTTTCCCATATTGCCACTTACTAGTTTTGTGACCATTTACAAACTAGCTATCTCTGGGCCTGTTTCTGCATCCATAAAATGGGAATGGGATGTATCTCACTGAATCAATAGAGGGAAATTTATAGGAAGATGTTAAGGGCCTATATAGATGCTCAATAAAAGGCTGATTCCCACATTTGTAATCCTAGCATTTTAGGCGGCTGAGGCAAGATCACTTGAGGCCAGGAGTTCAAGTTCAGCCTGGGCAATGAAGTGACACCCTGTCTCTACAAAAAATAAAAAATTAGCCAGGCATGGTGTTGCATGCCAGTAGTCCCTGCTACTCAAGAAGCTAAAGTGGGAGGATGGCTTGAGCCTGGGAGTTTGAGGCTACAGTGAGCAATGATCACACCACTGCCACCTAGCTTGGGTGACAAAGTGAGACATTGTCCAAAAAAAAAAGGCCCAGTGTGGTGGTTCATGTCTGTAATTTAAGCACTTTGGGAGGCCAAGGTGAGCGGATCACTTAAAGTCAGGAGTTCCAGACCAGCCTGGCCAACATGGCAAAACCCCCATCTCTACAAAAAATTAGCTGGTCTAGGTGGCACATTCCTGTAGTCCCAGCTACTTGGGAGGCTGAGACAGGAGAATTGCTTGAACCTGGGAGGGAGAGGTTGCAGAGTGGAGATTGTGCCACTGCACTCCAGCCTGGGCAACAGAGCAAGACTCTGTCTCAAAACAAAACATAACCAAACAAAGGGCAACTGAGGCCATCAGATCAATTCCTTCCCATGTCAGCATTCTGTGGAACACAGGCTTGCATCGTCACGTGTGGGCTTGGTAATCTGCATCTGTTCAAATGCATTTGTTTCAACTCCTCTGCTGGAATGAGTAGGGTCCATGTCATTTTACGAGTGCCTCTCGCATGTGCAGCAATCCAGACGCCCTTTTGCTGGCACTTGCCCCTGGGTCACTGAAAAACTCATCTGAGATGGTGGTCTCCTGAAATTATTATTATTATTATGATTTTTAGTTGAATCTCACTCTGTAGCCCAGGCTAGAGTGCAGTGGCGTGATCTTGGCTCGCTGCAACCTCCGCCTCCCAGTGATTCACCTGCCTCACAGCCTCCTAAGTAGCTGGGATTACAGGCATGCACCCCCATGACTGGCTAATTTGTGTATTTTTAGTAGAAACAGGGTTTCACCATGTTGGCCAGGATGGTCTTGAACTCCTGACCTCAAGTGATCTACCTGCCTTGGCCTCCCAGAGTGCTGGGATTACAGGTGTGAGCCACCACACCTGGCCTGAAATTATTCTTGACAGGTACAAATCTGGCCATTTCTGGAGAAACACAGGCTGGTCTCAGAGAGGAACCCAGACAAGTGGTTGCAGATTATTAAATGACAGGTGGGACCCAGCAATCCCACGCAGGTGGTGGAGCTGCGACGTGAACCACCTTCTCAAGACCTCAGCTGCTTCTACTCCATCACAAACAACACTATCAGGCTTCTTTTGATTTTTGGCTTGAGGGAAGTACAACACATCAGATGGAATTCTGCATAATTCCCTGGGATTTAATCCTGGCTGGACTTACTGGCTGTAGGACCTTGGGCAATGATTTATCATCAGGCTTCATTTCCTCCTATAAATGGACAGTGTTGCTTGGTGGATAAGCAATCACATGTGAAAATGTCAACATCAACATACAGCAACTTGATCCTGCCCTGAACCCCAGTGAATGGCTTGAGAGAAATAACACCAGCAATCAGGTAACAATGAGACATATACAGCTTTATTTAATAATGTGTAAAAAGTCATACTCTGGCAGAGTGATGCATTCCTTATCTCAGCAGAAAGCAAACAATGTGTCTGAAAAGCCTCTTCCCAAGATTTGGAACTGTGTAACCCTGAGCTTACATCTCAATGCTCCCAAGAGCTGGGCTCTTGCTATGTGGCAGCTGGTATCCACAGTTCTTTCTCTCACCCTCCAGTGATACTCTCTGGCTGGCTGTGACTCCCTCACCTAACAGTAGACAGGTTGAAAACAACTTCAACTGGACAGGGCTGCCTCTACAGATGGGCCCCTTCCTTCCTACAAAAGGTGGGGTTTATAGGATTAAGAATGTTTCTGACGGCCAGGCACAATGACTCATACCTACAATCCCAGTACTTTGGGAGGCCAAGGTGGGTGGATCACCTGAGGTCAGGAGTTTGAGACCAGCCTGGCCAACATGGCGAAACCCCATCTCTATTAAAATAAAAAAACTAGCCAGGTGTGATGGCAGGTGCCTGCAGTCCCAGCTCACAGGCAAGGATGACACAGCCACTTGAGACAAGAACTGCTTGAGCCCGGGAGGCAGAGGTTGCAGTGAACCAAGCTTGCGCCATTGCACTCTAGCCTGCACGACAGAGCGAGACTCTGTCTCAAACAAACAAAAAAAAACAAAGACTCTTTCTGAGAAATGAGTTCTATACTAATTTAATTTGGCTTCCATATGGCTGCTGAAATCAAGCTTATTAAACATGATACAATGTTAATGGCTGTTCCTCTCCCCCCACCCATTTCTCCACCATCTACATGCTTTTTAAGCCATCCCTCTCCCCTTTCTGGGAAGTGAGGAATGGAGACATACTCTCATCATAGACTAAGAGGCACTTCTTGTGGATATGTGGATGTCTGGTACCAGATACCGCAGCAATAGCAGTTTTGTTCCTGCAGAGCAGAGGCCTGGCATTTTGTTTTCCACCTTCCTGTGCTAAGTGAGTCCAGTAATTAAGCTACACTCACTCCTTGGAAACAACTCTTATGTTGTATCAGAACCTCACTGATGGTTCATGGGCTTCCAGCAGAATATATTCCTTCCTTTTATTTATAGAATAGTATACAGGAATTCATTTGGACAGAAGGAGCCTCTCTATGTAACAGGCAGCCTTCTCCTATTGGTCACAATCAATCAATGGTCCAGGCAGTAATTATGATTTTCCACATTCCTTAGAGCTGCTCTCTCCTGAAATCACTTTGCAAATTTTGTTGACCAATTTGCAAACAAGATAATGCAGTTGGCCTACCCGACCTAGAAATTTGTTGTGCCTAATTCCCTTAAAAAAACCATTGAGAATGCAAAATAAGTCCCTTTTTTGTTTTTTTGCAGAAGCACTACAAGAAAGCATGTCTAAAACCACAGAACTATGCACACACAAACACAGACACACATGCTCGCACACACACAGAGTCGGGATCAAAGAATCTTATCTGATACATAGTTGAGGGGGCACGGAAAAAAGCTGGCAAGAGAGGATATGAAGAGACCTGATCAGCTAAAGATGTTGGAATGTTACAGTATGGCATGAAAGTGGGTTTTGGGATATACAAAAAAGGGGTGGGCAGGCAGAGAGAATGATAAATCCAGGCTACTAGAGAGAGGTTCAGTGGCCATGCATGAGTTAAAGATAGTAGAGGCCAGTTTACTGGATGAAATGTTATATTATGGAGTGGTCATTTGAAGAAGGATGGACTTGCAATGATCCAGGGGAGGAGCATCTGTTTAGCAGGACACCTCCATGGTCTGGTGTCTGTCCAGGACATCAGGGGACTCACAGGATTCTTGAGTTCCATCTGACTGATTGCTGGTGACAGACCGGCTGAAGGGACTTTCTCCAGAGCCAATGCTACTTGAGGTTGAGTGGGTTCGTGATCGGGCGAGCCGGGTCATGCTGGCAGATGGTACTGTAACAGAGAACCAAAGGGGACTAGAAGATGAAGCCCTGCTTAAGCTCAGCTAACCTAGGAGTCTCATCAAAGGCTTTATGTTTAGTTTTTCCAACTCATTTACGATGACACCCAGGGCAAGATATAGCCATCCCCATTTTGTATTATTTGTTCTAGGTGAGTGGTGAAATGTGAGGACACTTTAATCCTTTAGATCTGGTTGGAATCTCAGCTGACTGTAGTCCCCAGCAGAACGAGGGGAATCCTAAGTCCAGAGTATAGCCTCTTAGCTATGCCCACCCCATTCAGACAGTGATAGAATGGAAGCTTTCGGAACCCAAACAGGTAAATAAAACCTACAGTACATGCAAGACTAAACCAAAAGAAAAGAAAGACAAACACACAAGTATGAAGGTGTTTCACAAACACAGTGCAAGCCCGATACAACGAGACCACCATCCGTGTACACAGGCTACCTTGCTACCTGGGGAGATGTGTAGGATGGTGTGGGTCAAGGGGAGGGCAGGTTGGCTTGGAGCTGACCTCTACACAGGGATGAGGTGTTTAACTCAGACTCCTTTTCTGCCACTGCTTGACCCTAAGGTCCTTCCAGCTTGGCTGGGACTGGGCCTTACCTGGCATAGCCTCCCTGCCTATCCTCCTGGGCAGCAGCCACTCCACTAGCTGTCATTTCAATGCTGGGGTCAAAAGGTGCCATTATCTGCAGAGTTCTCTGGGCACAGCCTCTGACCCTCCTATTTAGAGCCAAAGCTCCCCTTGGATTCCTGTGTCTGGAGGTTAATTCAAGGATCAGTAGGTGGTGGTGGAAGACAGGCCCTGCCTATCAAGTTTCAGCTGCTGCTGTGACCCTGGATTTAGGATGACAAGAGGAGGCCTTCCCCTTACAACCAGATCCTTTCTTACTCCTAGGGAACCAGGGCTGGACCTGTAGGCTAAATCTCTTGGGGTGTACTGAGCCACGTTCTATCGGGCTCTCACTGCACAGGAAGACGGCGGACATGCTACAGGCAGCCAGTGCAGCCAGGAGAGGCTGGAAGGCGGGGCGGAGCCAGCACAGAGGAAGGTACCTGACTCGGTGCTCAAGTGACTGAGCTGCACATACGGGACTGGAAGCAGGATGGACATAGGAAAAGCCAGGTTAGTGACCCGAGAGTGCCAAGTGGCAACCTCAGTTGCCTGGTAGACACTGACAGAATACTCTAAGACAGGGATAAAATTTTATTTTAAGGTCCCAGAGAGGAGGTGAGGCTGACAGATAATTCAATAGCATCTCAGATGTTACTTTCCTCAATTAGACAAAAGCAACTGTTTTCCTCTTGCTATAAACAGTCATCTTGCTTTGGATCAGAAATGGGCTGGAAGATCAGCTGTTTCTTGGCAAAGGATAAGAATGGGCTAAAAGAGGGGCTCCTGTTCCTCCCAGTGAGCCATAGGGCTGTGGGTGTGGGCTCGGTTGGTAGCAGCTCACAGGCAAGGATGACACAGCCACTTGAGACAAGACATACATGGTCTGCCTGGCAGGTACAGGGTTGCACCCAGGGCCCAGCTGCCCAGAGCAGCTGCCCAGGTGGCTCACCAATGACCATTATCCACACTAATACCAAAGACAGGAGAAAAATCACCCTACTGGGTAAAGAGCTCTGTACCTGGGTGAAAGAGTTTTTCTTAAAACTCTAAGAAAGGAGCACATGTAGAGAATTCTGTGACCAGGAGAAAGCTCAGGGGTCATACAATACAAGAGACCAGGACAATGGCATATGATATGGACACACCCTTGGACTTGCTCTAAAACACTCAAAGTTCATCTCCTGGGGAGAAAGACACTTCCAAGGATACTGCCCTTTTCTCCTGGAGTCTCCATTTCGTATCTCTAGGTCTGGAGTTATTAACCAGCTGAGTTTAAATGCAAATCATAATTTCAGATTCACATCTAGGAGAGACAGCCTAGGCTTCAGTGGTTCAAAATGTGGGCTCTGGAGTCAGACTGCCAGAGTTTGAATCATGGCTCTACAGCTGAATTTTTACCCTAGGAAATGTGCTTAGTTAGCTTTTTTGAGACTCAGTTTCTTCTTCTATAAAATAGCACATAACAGAATGACCTCTTAGATTAAGAATACATAGTACCTGACAAAAGCAAGTGCTGAGTGTTAGCATATCATAAATACACACGAATGAATGTTCCATCAACATTTTGGTTTCTACTTTGCTTAAGGCTAGCTGGTACAGTTATATCCCAAGAAATGTGGGCTCCCAGGTGCGAAGCTGACCCCCAATATTCATAAATTGTTGCTAGGTAGAAAGTTGTGTATTACTCACTGTAGCCCATTCCCTGCAAAAAGTACTTGAAGGCCTCGGTGAGCTTCCCAGGCTGTGGGCACAAAACAAGAGGGCATTAATCTTTGCATAGACAGTGAGGCAGAATTAAAAGGGTGTTTTAAAAAAAAATCTCCTTACCTGAACTACCTGGGGCAGTCCCCCACAGTCTGCCATCTAGAAAAGGAGAAATAATGCAAGTCAGCTGGGACTTACCCTTAAGAGAATCGCTCTGAACATCCCAAGTCCTTTCAAACAGAACAAAATCGAGTTCTAGGTTTTAGTTAATGTTTAACTGCAAGTTTACATCTCAATGCACTCACATACAAAGACTTATAATCTTGGATGAAAATCTGAAATAATTATTCCATACTTATTTATCAATAAGACTGAAGGGCTGACTTTCAGGCCCATGGTGGGACTTTTCTGTTGCAGCGATAGTAAAGTTAACCACTCCTCTCAACTGTGGAAACCACCTGAGAATGTTCCTTTCAGAGTCCTCGAACAGTGTCACCCTAACTTCTCTGTGCATCATGCCTTCCAAGTCTCATTTCAACTCTACGCTATCTTTCTTTCCTTCATGAGTAAGGGCACTCTGTCATCAGGAGCTGATACTGATTCAGCCAGCTCACTCAGTCAACCACTTTTCTCTAATAGCTAGGTTTGATAATGCTGCTTTTCACTTCATAAATATTTACAGCTGGTTATTCTCATACGTGCAAGCATTTCTAGGGTACGGCTTCATTAGTGTACACTAGAATTACCTGAAGGACTTATTAAAACTCAGATTCTTGGATCCCTGTCCCAGAGATTCTGATTTGATAGGTCTGGGGTATGGTTCAAGAACATGCATTTCTAATAAGCTCCGAGGTGATTTGAATCTACTCTCCACAGAAAAGCATTTTTAGGGCATGGTGGCCAAACGTAAGCCTGCTCTCTTCCTTCCAGCTGTTACGCACTCTGGGCTCAGATGGTATCCTATTCAGGCTGACTGGCTTTTTTTTTTTTTTAAAAAAAAGGGACATGAACTCCATGGTTTCAACTCACTGGCAATAAAACTTATTTTTGGGGGGGACTGCTACTGAGGGGAGTGCCACAGAAGACACAGAAATTTGAGATTAACAAGAGAGAGTCCCCTGAAAATTCTAAGCATAAGATTGTAAACAAACATTTAATCTAACAAATATACACAAAACCAAACCAGCGCAAGCTGTATTTTCATGAAGTTTAGGAGCTGAAACCTGATGAGAACCACTGAACAGTTCCCATATGCAGAGAGAATACTGGGAGAAACTATTCCCAAGATGGGTACCTATCAAACAGTTTGAGAATAAGTTTAATCTGCCATAGGAGTTATCTACTCTATTCTATGGGGTTGTAGATGGGCATTTTTCCCCAAAAATAACTGTCTATGGTTATTGTAGTTTTGTGCTTTTGAATATTGATTCAAACCTGAAGTGAGGAATTAATTTGAAACTGCAAACTTAAAAAACAATCGATATTTTATTTTTATTAAAAAAAATTTTTTTTTTGAGATAAAGCCTCATTCTTGTTGCCCAGGCTAGAATATAATGGTGCAATCCTGGCTCACTGTAACCTCCACCTCCCAGGTTTAAGCGATTCTCCCGCCTCAGCCTCTGGAGTAGCTGGGATTACAGACACCTGCTACCATGGCTGGCTAATTTTTGGATTTTTAGTAGAGATGAGGTTTCACCATGTTGGACAGGCTGGTCTTGACTCCTGGCCTCCGCCTCCCAAAGTGCTGGGATTACAGGCATGAGCCACCATGCCCAGCCCCCAGAAAAAATTTTTAGACCAGCCATCAACTGACTGGAGGCCAGAACATTTTGAGTGTGGTCACCTCAGAGCATTAACCTCATGTTATCTTTCTAGGAACTACAGGCTGTTTCTGGTAACAGCACTTTCCTTTCAAACACACCTTAAAGAGAAAAGGAAGAGGCAGAGGTCTTTCACACTGAAAATGTAGCAGTAAGCAACATATGATCAGCATTTAAATCTACAGTAGTCCAAATTCAAACTAGACGGTCAGCTACGTAAAAACTTTAGTAGGAGCCCTAGGAAAAGCTAGGTTGAACAATGTCAGGTAAAAACTCCTGCCTAGGATATACTCAAAAGGAGAGACACTTGATACTAACTCTAGAAATTTAGCTTAAGAGTCGCTCTGTGTTTGCCGTAAGAGAAAGAACATGCATCCACCCTTATCATTAGAATTGTTACTGAAAGTTTCCTTATCAATACAGCAGGATTTTGCATATAAAGAATTTATACCCATTGTCTTAATTCTCACAACATTAAATAATGTTTATAAAGTTTTTTAAATTTTTTTTTTTTTTGAGACAGGGTTTCACTCTGTCACCTAGGCTGGAGTGCAGTGTCAAGAGCACAAATCCTCAAATTCCTGGGCTCAAGGAATCCCCTCACCTCAGCCTCCTGAGTAGCTGGGGCTACAGGAGTGCACCACCAAGCCCAGCTAACTTTCTTATTTTTTTTGTAGAGATAGAATTTCACTGTGTTGCCCAGGCTGCTCTCGAACTCCTGGCTTCCCACCTTGGCCTTCCAAAGCACTGGGATTATAGGTGTGAGCTACTGCACCCAAAGTTTTTAGTTACATGGGAAAAGGCTCGGTCATAAAGTTGAGTAAAACTGATACAGCGTTGTAAATACTCTCTGACAGGGTCTCACTCTGTCACCCAGGCTGGTCTCAAAATAACTGGACTCAAGTTATCCACCCACCTCAGCCTCCCAAAGTTTTGGGATTACAGGTGTGAGCCATCGTGCCCAGCAGCTCTCTAATGATGTAAAAATGTATAGGAAAGGACAGCAATATTTTACCAGAGGTTTGGGTGGTAGGATTATGGGTAATTTAAATTTATTTTATTCTTTATGCTTTTCTCTTTTTTGCAGTGTCCTACAATGAGAACATAATCAGCAAAAAAGCATTATTTCATTTATTTATTTATTTTTTTTATTTTTGAGACAGAATCTCGCTCTGTTGCCCAGGCTGGAGTGAAGTGGTGTGATCTCAGATCACTGCAACCTCTGCCACCTGGGTTCAAGCAATTATCTTGCTTCAGCCTCCCGAGTAGATGGGACTACAGGTGCGTGCAACCACACCCAGTTAATTTTTGTATTTTTAGTAGAGACAGGGTTTCGCCATATTGGCCAGGCTGGTATCAAACCCCTGACCTCATGATCTGCCTGCCTTGGCCTCCCAAAGTGCTGGGATTACAGGCATGAACCACCATACCCAGCCAAAAGCATTATTTTAAAAAGAGAATGAGATAACCAAGGAGAGGGAAGCTTTGCTTCTTTCTGGGCAATTATTCCAGGAAACATGATTAATCTGAAGCATATATAATATACTCCCAAAGGTTGGAAGTGAAGGAAGAAGACACATTACCTTTAGCAAAGTTGTATTTATAGGGTTCAGGCGGGAATTACATTCGACCTAAAATTTAAAAAAGGAGAGAATAATTTTATGAGTTGCTAGGAAAAAAATGAAATAGGTTGGCATGAGAACGATCTTGCAAGATCAACAGCTCAGTTTGGAGAAGGCTGCACCAGCCAAAGAGATTACCAAACACATAGTGAAAGATGTATGATACACTTCAAAATTTTTGAGCAGATCTAAAAATTTCACTTATCTAATTTTCTGAATCTGTTACATGTCTTTAAAAAAACTACAAGCTAAATCTAATTCTTCCTGCTGGCTAGCTACATAACATGAAGTCGGTTACCTTACTTCTTTGAAAAATGAACTGGACCACCGGGCATGGTGGCTCACACCTGTAATTCCAGCACTTTGGGAGGCCCAGGTGGGTGGATCACCTGAGGTCAGGAGTTCAAGACCAGCTTGACCAACATGGAGAAACCCCAACTCTACTGAAAATTCAAAATTAGCTGGGTATGGTGCTGCATGCCTGTAATCCCAACTACCCGGGAGGCTGAGACAGGAGAATCACTTGAACCTGGGAGGCGGGGGTTGCGGTGAGCCGAGATTGCGCCACTACACTCCAGCTTGGGCAACAAGAGTGAAATTTTGTCTTTTTTTTTTTAAAAAAAAAAGAGGACTGGACTGTGGGTCCACTCCTGCTCCTGCTGGGATCTCTTTAATGGCTTCTGAGCACAACTGGGTCTAATGACTAAGCCCTGAGCACCTCCCCTGCCTCTTTCCTTAGTGGGTTTTTCATTCCTTATATCCTCACTCTTTTCTATCTCAAAGTCTTTGGCTATCCAGCCTAAAGTTGAACTCTTCTCATTTTTCTCTCATAGAGTCATTTAATTAAGAATCACGGCCTTGTACATTCACATGTCTGATATCCTGTACCCTTGTGTTCATAAGGGCAGGGAACTCAAAGAAAACGTTTTGGGGAGACAATCTCTCGGTTCAGCATTGTTTTAGGGCTATTTTGGTCAACTGGATCTCTCTGTTTATACGTTTGCTAAGAACATACATATAAAGTCTATGCTGATAGTCTGGATCTAGCAGGATGAAACATGTAATACAAAGCAAAATGAACCACTGCAAACACTTCACAACTAAGCTGAGTGAACACAGAAAGAGGAGTAGGATTTCTACAGATAGATAAAGGGAAAATGTGAGTGTTTGAGGACTTCTAGAATCAAGGTGAAAGCATAAGCATAGCCCAGGGGTGGGAACAGAACATCTGCTGAGGCAAGCGTGAGGTAAGGTAGACTGGAGGTGAGGCTGGGGCACAGGCTGGAGCTGACTGTGGAAGGCGAGATGCCACAGAAGGTGTCTGAAGTGACAGGATTTTAGTTGTTTTAGGAATGGGCTACATGACAGACTGCAGTGGCAGCAAGCAGTGGTTAAAATTACCTAGCCAAGACCCAGTAATCCAGAAGAAGTTTTGCTCTCGGGATTGCAGGTGGGCAGGTATACAAAACTCTTCTAAAATCAGGGATAATATAAAAAGTGAGGATCACCAAATCAGAGCTTTGATTTGTTCTACACAAAGGACAATGCAGGCAGTGACAAACAAATGTATCAGTTCCCTACAGAATGTGCATTAACTCTAAAGGTAGAATTTAAAAACTGGATCTCTAACTGCTCGGCACAGTGCTTAGAACACAGTAGATATACTATAAATATTTTCTAGAAGAATGAACTCCAAAACCTGGATTTAATATAATAAATCATTTGACCTAATTCCTTCATTCACCACTTTGCAATTTCTACAACATTATAAGAAGTCTTGATAACTGGTAGACTGACCACAATCATTGTTTTTGTTTCTGTTTTTTTTTTTTTGAGACAGAGTCTTACTCTGTCACCCAGGCTGGGGTGCAGTGGCACGATCTCAGATCACTGCAACCTCTGCCTCCTGGGTTCAGGTAATTCTCCCACTGAGTAGCTGGGATTACAGGTGTGCACCACCACACCCAGCTCATTTTTGTATTTTTAGTAGAGACAGGGTTTTGCCATGTTGGCTAGGCTGATCTTGAACTCCTGACCTCAAGTGATCTGCTCATCTCGGCCTCCCAAAGTGCTGGGATTACAGGCATGAGCCACTGTGCCCAGCCACATGCCATGTATTTCACACCAGACACAGAGTGTTTTATAGGGCAGTTCAGAGACATGCGAATATATCCTTTCAATCTGTATATTCTTGCCCTACAATCATTTCCCTACTCCACAAACCTTCTCAACTATGTCTACACCTCTGATCATTTGTTAGACTTCCTTTCCAAAAAGCTTTACTCCTTAATGTTTTGCTCTATTTAGGGCAGAAGTGAAGACAGCCAAAGAAATCAAGTAATTTCACAGATACTTGGTTAAGTTATATACGCTGTGGGAAACACATAATTAGACATATGAAAAACTATCAACTTCATTTTTAATCAAATAAATGCAAATTAAAACAGTGAGATACTATTTTTTTTTTTTTTTTTTTTTTTTGAGACAGAGTTTTGCTCTTGTTACCCACGCTGGAGTGCAATGGCACTATCTCGGCTCACCGCAACCTCCACCTTCTGGGTTCGAGCAATTCTCCTGCCTCAGCCTCCCGAGTAGTTGGGACTACAGGCACGCACCACCATGCCCAGCTAATTTTTGTATTTTTAGTAGAGACGGGGTTTCATCTTGTTGACCAGGATGGTCTTGATCTCTTGACCTCGTGATCCACCCGCCTCAGACTCCCAAAGTGCTGGGATTATAGGCGTGAGCTACCGCGCTTGGCCTGAGATACTATTTTTAACCTATCAAATTAACTACTAATAAAAAAAGATTCAATGCTAGACAGTGTGCAGTGAAACAGGCATGCTTATACAGTGCTGGTGGCAATATACTGGTATATCCTTTCTGGAAAGGAACCTGGCAAAATGTATTAAAGACTTTATAAAGATTTATAATTTTAGACATATTAATTCCACTTCTGGAAATCCATCCCAAAGAAATAATCAAAGATTCAAAGATTTCCTAAGGATGTTCAATAGTAACATTTTATTTATTTATTTATTTATAGATGAAGTCTCACTCATGTCCCCCAGGCTGGAGTGCAATGGCACGATCTCGGCTCACTGCAACCTCCACCTCCTGGGTTCAATCCATTCTCCTGCCTCAGCCTCCTGAAGAGCTGGGATTACAGGCACCTGCCACCATGCTAATTTTTGCATTTTTAATAGATTTGAATTTCACCATGATCAGGCTGGTCTCGAACTCCTGACCTCAGGTTATCTGCCCACCCGCCTTGGCCTCCAAAATGCGGGGATTACAGGCATGAGTGACTGGCACTCTTGGCTCACTGCAGCCTCTGCCTCCAGGGTTCAAGTGATTCTTCTGTCAAAGCCTCCGAAGTAGCTGGGACTATAGGCGCGCACTACCACACCCATCTGATTTTTTATATTTATAATAGAGACGGGTTTCACCATGTTGGCCAGGTTGGTCTTGAACTCCTGACCTCAGGTGATCCACCTACCTCAGCCTCCCAAAGTGCTGGAATCCCAGCACATTACAGGTGTGAGCCACCGCACCTGGCCAACAGTAACATTATTAATAGCACAAAATTGGAATTAATCGACATGAAAATAAAGAAATAGTGGTAAATCTATAGACATACTGACTCTATAACGGAAAAATGCTATCGAAAGTATTAAGTCAGGCTCCCAAATCTTATATATTCAATATAATCAGGTCTATGTAAAGCAAAAGGTAATCGTCTGTCTTTAGGTAATGGGATTACGATTTTCCCCTCATCTTTCTATTTTTACATTTTTTTCATATTTTCTACAATGAGCATATATAATTTTTATCCATGTGCTATGTCCTTCGGAAGAAGAGATGGCCTTCCAGCCTACTCAATTTATGGTGGCAATCTATTCCAGACTGAAGGCTGAGGCTGTCAGAAATCTGATAATAAGTAAATGGTGTTAGTTGTACTACTTGCCACAAAGTGAACTACACCACACAACACAATCAAGAACAAAACTGATCCCATCTGATGAAATCTAGTGATTGACGAATTAACTTTCTAAAATGTATGACAAAGAGCAAACCCTGTTATGTGTAATCAGAAAACAAAAATTAGTATTTACCAACTGTTTCTAGTGTGTCAGCAGTATGCTACATACTTTTTTTTGAGACAGGGTCTTACTCTGTCACCCAGGCTGGAGTACAGCGGTGCAATCATGGCTCACTGCAGCCTTGACCTCCTGAGCTCAAGCAATCCTCCTACCTCTAGAGTAGCTGGGACTAAAGGCTGTCCTAATTCAAAAAAAATTTTTTGTAGAGCTAGGGTTCCACTGTGTTGCCCACTGGTCTCAAGTGATCCTACTGCCTCAGCCTCCCAAAGTGTTGGGAATATAGGTGTGAGCCACTGGACCCAGCCTATATTTTTTTTTTTTTTTTTTTTTTTTTTTGAGAGGGAGTCTCCCTCTGTCACCCAGGCTGGAGAACAGTGGCATGATCTTGGCTCACTGCAACATCTGCCTCCCAGGTTCAAGCGTTTCTCCTGCCTCAGTCTCCCAAGTAGCTGGGATTACAGGTGCCCACCACCATGCCAGGCTAATTTGCTTTCGTATTTTTAGTAGAGATGGGGGTTTTACCATGTTGGCCAGGCTGGTCTCGAACTCCTGACCTCAGGTGATCCGCCCGCCTCAGCCTCCCCAAGTGCTGGGATTACAGGTGTGCTTACACCACACCCAGCCCGGCCTATAATTTTATGCATTTTAATCTTATTATCTTCACAGCATCAGAACATACTTACCACGGCCTCAACTGCAGGCGAACTGTCCCCTACCACCAGTAAAGTAGAACACCTAGGTAGGCAAAACAAGAGGTGTCACTCAGCAAATAGGCACATAAATTCCACTGAACACCAAATTAGTCTATGAATGCAAAGATATTTGGCAAGTCAGTTGAGGAAACTGAGGAACTTACTTTAATGTTTTTAATCTGTTATCATTTTGGCCCAGTATGGGTCTTTCGATCTCCAGGTCTCTGCGCCTAGAAAAACAAAGCAAAAGCAATGGGTAAAGTCATAGCAACTCAGATTATTTTCTGGTCATAAACACCAAAATGTATCAAGGAATGTGAAATTACCTTTCCTTCACACCTGAGAAGGGAAGAAGCCTTCCCTTGGTGTGACTTGGTTCTCGAGTCGCCACTTCAATGGCGTCCTGAGTGGTACAGGGCAGGAAGGAGGCGCCTGGCTAAACCCTGTAGGACTCTTTGGGATGCTACAAGGAGACAGCCTCAAAACCCAACAGCAATACCACTGAAGCTCTCAAGTCCTAAGTGTTTAATTTATAGGAATAAATTCCTTAAGAGAAGAGAATGACTAACACTTTGAGGAGAGGGGGAAGGGTGTTTTCCTTGTAACTAAGAGTTTAGTATAGGACTTAATCTTTCTAATTTCAGCTAAAAATAGGGAGGCTCTGTTTACAGAAGAAAAGAGCTAGAGAGACAAGGTTCAAAATCTGGCTTTGCTCCTTCCTGGCTGTATAACTCTGGGTAAGTTACAGCTGAACCATTTCTTCCATCTTTGCCCATGTTTCTAGAAAGCCAGAAGGGGCTCACATTTTCACCTCAAAGAAGCTGGTCTCAAGATTAGATACAGTCCTCTCTCCTCCCCTGCCACCTCTTTTTAGACCTGTCTACATTTAAGTGAAGAAACAGGAAAAAATATATACCCATTATAGGAATTCAAGAAGAGCTGCAGGTTGTCTTGGTTGATGTCTTGGGCAATATGCATTCTGTAGGTTTGGATCAGGTCCAGGTTGGCCTGTAACTCTTCCTAGAACAATTCAAAGAAGACACAGGTAAGCTTCTGAGCTCCAGATCAAGTCTATCATATTTATTTTGCATTTTCAATACCACAAGCCAAACCATACGGCTTATGATGGGGATTGGGGCAGAGCCTGGAGGCTACTGATGTACTGATAGGCTGAATGGCTGATTATTTGCATCAGACTGGTTCAGTGCCATATTCTGTGTCAGATGAGGGCAGCAAAGGACCTATTATGAATTCAAGTACTAGCTGTGGAACTTAGGTCACCTCATTACTCGGAACCCTGATTTCTTTGTATTTTTTTTAATGTTCTGTCATTCTTCACAAAAATGGAGATATTGTAAAAATGAAGATAATAACCAGCTATCGGCTGGGCGCAGTGGCTCACGCCTATAATCCCAACACTTTGGGAGGCCGAGGCGGGTGGATCACGTGGTCAAGAGATCGAGACCATCCTGGTCAACATGGTGAAACCCTGTCTCTACTAAAAATACAAAAATTAGCTGGGCATGGTGGTGCGTGCCTGTAGTCCCAGCTACTCGGGAGGCGGAGGCAGGAGAATTGCCTGAACCCAGGAGGCGGAGGTTGCGGTGAGCCGAGATAGTGCCATTGCACTCCAGCCTGGGTGACAAGAGTGAAACTCTGTCTCAAAAAAAAAAAACGAGAGAAACAAAATGGTCTATACAGTGAAAAGTTAAGTCTCCCTCTCCACCACCCACTGTTTAATGGTCACTCTGTTGCTGGCCTTCTCAGATATCATCAGAGCTAGTTGCCAGGTTCGTGAGTACATAAGCATATATGTAAATATGTGTGTGCATACACACACACATCATTAAACAGTTTTAAGCAGAAAGGAAAATTCTTGCATTGAAGGAAAGAAATACATCAGGGATAATTTAGAAGTCTGTTAATCCAGGGCAATGTGTAAACTTCACCACCAAGCCTTATTAGAGAAACAGAGATGGAAAATTTGTTTGCATTTTCACCACCATGGATGTAATGAGCCCAGAATACAGTTGGATACTGACAAAAGTCTGCCTGAAACTGAATGGTACCGAAATCACTACTAGAAAACTTTGTGAAAGCCCCAGTCTCATTCTAAAGATATTATAGTAAGAAAAGTGAATACCAAATGACAGGCCAGGTGTGGTGGCTCATGCCTGTAATCCCCGCACTTCGGGAGGCAGAGGCAGGAGGATCGCTTGAGGCCAGGAGTTTGAGACTAGCCTAGGTTAACATAGTGAGACCCTCATCTCTACCAAAAAAATTAAAACTAGCTTAATGTGGTGGTACATGCCTCCTTCAGGAGGCTGAAGGAGGAGGATGGCTTAAGCCCAGGAGATTGAGGCTGCAGCAAACTATGATGGCATAACTGTAATCCAGTCTGGACGACAGAGCAAGACCCTGTTCTCAATAAACAAACTGACTCCCACCTTTTTAAAAACACAATTATAGTCCTCTAGACATTGCTCTACACTTGCTTTCCCATGTAAAGTATAGTAGAGATCATTCCTTATCCGAATATATAGACTCTCTCATTTATTTACACTACCTGTCTTCCCACATCCTTGCTAGTACAAATGTATTTTTATTTTTTTTCTCTTATTGGTGAAGATGAGCATTACTCGTGTTTAAAAACCATGTTTGCTTCCATTTCAAAGCAGTACAAGCATTAGTTTGCTTATATTTTTTTAAACGTATTTTTAATTTTTATTATCTTTCTGGCTGGTCAAGAGCAGTAGTGAGAGAAAGGAAAGAGTAGAACAAGGAATTCAATCTGTAACTAACTGTACAATCAATTCAGATAATTCACTACCTTCAGACCAGCCTGAATGCTTAAATTTTAAATGAACTCTTCAGCCTTATGACAGTCTACTATGTCATATGTTTTAAATTAAACATGTATATGTATATAGTTATATATAGAGAGTAATATATAGAAAGTTATGTATATGTATGTGTATATATTTTACTGTACATATAGTGAGGATGTTCTTGCTTTTTAGAAATTATTAAATACTGTCCCCTTAGCTCTCCCCTCAGAGGCCTATATAAAATAGTATTTACTTTTGCTATATTGCCCAGGCCAGTCTTGAACTCTGGGTTCAAGTGATCCTCCCACCACAGCCTCCTGAGTAGCTGGGACTAAAGCTACCAAGCCCAGCTGATTTTTGAATATTTATAAAGATAGGGTCCCTCTAAGGGGTACCTGCCTCGGCCTCCCAAGTAGCTGGAACTACAGGTGTATGCTACCATGCCTGGCTAATTTTTGTATTTTTAGTAGAAACAGAGTTTCACCATGTTGGCCAGGCTGGTCTTGAACATCTGACTTCAAGTAATCTGCCTACCTCAGCCTCCCAAAGTGCTGGGATAACAGACGTGAGCCACTGTACCCAACACCTAATTGGTAGTATATTAACACAAAGAACTGCTGCTATACCGTAATAGAAAAGAATGCACTACTGACACATGGAATGACATGGATGAAAAAAAGACAGTACGTTCAGCAAAAGAAGCCAGACCTAGAGAAATATACATTCTATTATTCCATTTATATGAAGTTAAGATAGTCAAAAATAATCTATGGAGGTAACAGAACAGTGAATACCTGTTTGGGGTGGGGAATTATTAAGTGGGAAAGGATAATGAGGAAAGCTTTGTGGGGTGATGAAAATGATGAAATGTTAATGAAAATGATGAAAATGTTCTGTTTGTGTTCTGGGTAGTAGTTACGTGAAAGTATACATCAGTAAATGGTCACTGAGATGCACTTAGGATGTGTGCATTACACTATTTGTAAGTACTACCTCAATTAAAGAGAAGGCAATATGGAGGCAAAACCCAAAGGAATCAGCTGGAAGAATTAAAGTGGTTGCCACTAAAAAGCAGAATATGGGGTAGGTGACAGCCTCTTTGTAATAAGCCCTGTAGAACTTCTCTACTCCTCTACTCTAAAATACATGTGAATTTGTAACTTTGATAAAAATATAATGAAATAAAAGACTATAGACTTTGGACTTAGCCTGACCTGGATTCAAATGTCAGCTCCACACTCACCATCTGGATGGTGGTGGCAAATTACGTTGCCTCTCTGGTCTTTGGTTTCCCTATCTTAAAATCAGACTAACAGAACCATGTAAAAAATAGTTTGCACATCTAAAGTCTTATAAATAATCAGTGGTTGGTAAATGCTAGTTTTCTTCCCATCTGCCATTTTCCTTCAGGATAATATTTTAAATGAAGCAGATTACAATTAAGTACCCACTATTCCTAAACATATTATTTTCCTCTCCCCACCCCAGACACCTCACAGCTCTCTGACCTCATTGCCCACTTATTCCATCACTCCTTTGTCGGTCACCCAACTCACTCTTCCCTTTGAAGAGGACCAGGGTCCCCCTCACCTCCCAGTTAAGTCCCCTTCCCCACTCAGCAATTATGTACATGATAACTGCCACTTTTTCCTCCCCAGTCAGAAAACATGGGGCTTGAACAAGATAATCTCTAAGCTTCTTTTAGCACTATTATTTCAGTTTTTTTTCCCTGAACTAGTTCTGTGAAGCCTTTCCCAGACCTCCTAATGGCTCTAAAGATGTTTGGGGAGGCACGTGATGCTGTCAAACATTAACAGATGGCATGCTATTTACAGAAACAGGTAGCTGGAGACACTGTCTTCTCTGAGTTCCACATGGCAACAACCAAGTGGCAATGAGTTAAAGATTCACCTCTGCAAGGCCACATGCCTTTCAACATTGGGAGTGTTATTTGTTGGGATGAGGTAAATTCTAAGGCAGCCCTAGAATTTGCATGCAAGCCAATAAACACAGCTCTTCTAGCTGAAGCAGGCACTTACCTGCCCAAAGTGATGAGCCAAAATAATGTCCACAACATTGGTTGTCAGGCCAGAGAGCTGAAAAAAATTAAAACTCTGTCTTAAGAGGGTAAGCATATGCCAAAATTTACCAAGCTGCCCAATTAAAACAAGTACACTTTATTATATATGTTATCTTTTAAAAAACAAACGAAAACCCCACAATTCAGTGTTATACATTTTCATCAGATGGTGGTTTCAAAGAAACACAGAGATGAGAAACAAGTCAGAAAAACCTAAGTCAGGGCCGGGCGCTGTGGCTCAAGCCTGTAATCCCAGCACTGTGGGAGGCCAAGGCAGGTGCATCACGAGGTCAAGAGATCGAGACCATCCTGGTCAACATGGTGAAACCCCGTCTCTACTAAAAATACAAAAAATTAGCTGGGCATGGTGGCACGTGCCTGTAATCCCAGCTACTCATGAGGCTGAGGCAGGAGAATTGCCTGAACCCTGGAGGTGGAGGTTGCGATGAGCTGAGATCGTGCCATTGCACTCCAGCCTGGGTAACAAGAGCGAAACTCCGTCTCAAAAAAAAAAAAAAAAAAGAAAAAACGAAGTCTCTTTTCCAGGGTAATAATAAAGCCTGGTGTGAAAATAGGGAACTGGAAGAGATGCTGGCCATTTCTTCTCTGAAAGCCAGACCTCATGGCTGTTTGCTACTTCATTCCAGCCTGTGTTTCTGCATTTACACTGGATTTATGGCTGATAAGGACTGACTTAACAATCACTCCCAGGCCGGGCGCAGTGGCTCATGCCTGTAATCCCAGCACTTTGGGAGGCTGAGGCAGGTGGATCACGAGGTCAAGAGATCGAGACCATCCTGGTCAACATGGTGAAACCCCGTCTCTACTCAAAATACAAAAAAATTAGCTGGGCATGGTGGCGCATGCCTGTAATCCCAGCTACTCAGGAAACTGAGACAGGAGAATTGCCTGAACCCAGAAGGCAGAGGTTGCAGTGAGCTGAGGTCACGCCACTGCACTCCAGCCTGGATAACAAGAGTGAAACTCCGTCTCAAAAAAACAAAACAAAACAAACAAACAAACAAAAACAATCACTCCCATGACTTCCAAGAGACAAAAACAGTTTTTTTCTCTTTCTTCCAGTTTTTGCTATCTGTATTTCAGGGAGTGGGAGGAAATGACTTGTTTACAGAATGTTCTTGAGTTTTAAACATTTTTCTCCAATTTTTCCCATTTCAAAATGATGCATCCCAGTCTAATAAATGCAGCAATCTGTAAATCTGCACACTGTTAGTCTATTTTCAGAAAAATTTCCAACTCAAATTATGTTGCTGATTCCTGTTAAGCTTTCTTCCTTGGTTTTATGCTGAACTCCTGCTGATTAGGGGTGAAGTATTGAATTGGGGATAGGCACAGAGAAGAAGTAGTGAGGGACAGACATGGCTATGCCTGGAGTAGGATTATACAGTCCCGGAAAGACTGAGGAGAAGTCCTGAAATCTTCACATAGGTTATCAGTGATGCACAGGTCATAAACTACAGAAAATTAGGCCAGGCGTGTTGGCTCACGCCTGTAATCCCAGAATTTTGAGAGGCTGAGGCCAGAGGATCACTTGAGGTCAGGAGTTTAAGACCAGCCTCACCAACATGGTGAAACCTTGTCTCTACTAAAAATACAAAAATTAGTGAGGTGTGATGGCACATGTCTGTAGTCCCAGCTACTCAGGAGGCTAAGAGAGAAGAATCACATGAACTCAGGGGGCGGAGGTTGCAGTGAGCTGAGATCATGCCACTGTACTTCAGCCTGGGCAACAGAGCAAGACTCCATCTCAAGAAAAAAAATTGTACCCACATACTAAGTAAGAATTAGGACAAGATTGATTGACTGATTGATAGGGTCTCACTCTATCATCCAGACTGGAGTGCAGTGGTATCATCTTAGCTCACTGTAGCCTTGACTTCTCAGGCTCAAGAGATCTTCTGGCCTCAGCCACCTGAGTAACTGGGACTATAGATGCGCACCACCAAGCCTGGCTAATTTTTAAATTTTTTGTAGAGATGAGGTCTCACTATGTTGCCCAGGGTAGTCTTAAACTCCTGAGCTCAAGCAATCTACCAGCTTCAGCTTCCCAAAGTGCTGGGATTACTGGTGTGAAACACTGTGCCCAGCCAGAACAAATTTTAAGTAAGCCAGGCTGTGAGAAGGAATTTCCACAGCATCTGCCAACAGCATTGTTAATGTGTTTTAGCTAAGAAATACCCCATTACTCCAAAATGTAAATGTAGGAAGAGATGGATAAATTATTTCGAATCTAGTTTGCTGGTAATTTTTTTTTTTTTTTTTTTTTTGAGACAGAGTTTCGGTCTTGTTACCCAGGCTGGAGTGCAATGGCGCCATCTCGGCTCACCATAACCTCCGCCTCCTGGGTTCAAGCGATTCTCCTGCCTCAGCCTCCTGAGTAGCTGGGATTACAGGCACGCGCCACCATGCCCAGCTAATTTTTTTGTATTTTGAGTAGAGACGGGGTTTCACCATGTTGACCAGGATGGTCTCGATCTCTTGACCTCGTGATCCACCCGTCTCGGCCTCCCAAAGTGCTGGGATTACAGGCTTAGAATTTTTTTTTTTTTTAAAGATGGGGTTTCACCATGTTGGTCAGGCTGGTCTTGAACTCCCGACCTCAGGTGATCCGCCCACCTTGGCCTCCAAAGTGCTTGGATTACAGGCATGAGCCACCATGCCCAGCCAGTAGAATATTTTAATAGTTTTAATAAAAATATGCTTATCACAGAAAATTGCAAAAAACCAGAATACAAAAAAAAACACAACAACATCGTTTTTTTTTGTGGTTGTTTTGTTTTAGGACAGGGTCTCATTCTCTTGTTCTGTCACCCAGGCTGGAGTGAAGTGGCACAATCCAGGCTCACTGCAATCTCTGCAACCCAAGTTTTCAAGTGATTCTCCAACCTCAGCTCCTGAGTAGCTGGGACCACAGGCACGTACCATCACACTTGGCTATGTTTCTGTATTTTTAGTAGAGATAGGCGTCACCATGTTGGCCAGGTGGCCAGGCTGGTCTTGAACTCCTGACCTCAAGTAATCTGCCCACTTTAATGAATGCTTTAAAGCATTAAAAGAATGCTGTAATGAATATTCTGAGTTTGCAACTTACTAGCGATGTAATTTTAAGTAAATAATTTCTCTGTGGGATAGAAATGGTACCAGTGGATTGTCCTGAAAATGAAAAAGGTTAAGTATTTCTAAAACATTTAAGAACAGTGCCTGGTACACAATAAGCACTGTATAGGTGTTACATTAAAAAAAAAAAATTATTACCCAACTCTTTAAAAATCTTTTTAAGGATCACTACCTTTCAGAAAAGTTCCTAGATATTGACTTATTGAATTTCATGGTTTGAGTATCAATATAGCTTTATTATTATTATTATTATTATTGAGACAGGGTCTCTCTCTATCACCCAGGCAGGACTGCAGTAACATGATCATGGCTCACTGCAGCCTTGAACACCTGGGCTCAAGCAATCCTTCCCCTTCAACCTCCTGAGTATCTGGGACTACAAGCAAGTACCACCATGCCTAATTTTAAAATTTTTGTAGCGACAAAGTCTTGTTCTGTTGAGCAGGCTAGTCTTAAGCTCCTGGCCTCAAGTGATCTTCCTGCCTTGGCCTCCCAAAGTGCTAGGACTATAGGTGTGAGCCACCATGCCCAGCCAAATTTTTTTTTTTGAGACAGGGTCTCTCTCTGTCACCCAGGCTGGAGTGCAGTGGTGTGATCATGGTCCACTACAGCCTTGACCTGCTGGGCTCAAGCATTCTTCCCACCTCAGCTTACCAAGTAGCTGAAACCACAGACATGTGCCACAACAACTTTTTTTTTTCAAGACAGTCTCACTTTGTTGCCCAGGCTGGAGTGCACTGGTGTGATCTTGACTCACTGCAACCTCCACCTCCCAGGTTCAAGCAATTCTCCTGCCTCAGCCTCCCAAGTAGCTGGGACTACAGGAGACTGCCACCATATCCAGCTAATTTTTGTATTTTTAGGAGATACAGGGTTTCGCCATGTTGGCCATGCTGGACTCAAACTCCGGACCTCAGGTGATCCGCCTGCCTTGGCCTCCCAAAGTGCTGAGATTATAGGCATGAGCCACCATGCCTGGTAGACAACTAGCTACTTTAAAAATTTTTTTTTTTTTTGAGACGGAGTTTTGCTATTGTTGCCCAGGGTGGCGTGCAATGGCGTTATCTCTGCTCATCGCAACCTCTGTCTCCCGGGATGAAGTGATTCTCCTGCCTCAGCCTCCCAAGTAGCTGGGATTACAGGCATACGCCACCACGCCTGGCTAATTTTGTATTTTTACTAGAGACAGGGTTTCTCCATGTTGGTCATGCTGGTCTTGAATTCCAGACCTCATGTGATCCTCCTGCTTTGGCCTCCCAAAGTGCTGGGATTACAGGCATAAGCCACGGTGCCTGGCCTACTTATAAAAATTTTTTTGTAGTGATAGGGTCTCACTATGTTGCCCAGGCTGGTCTCAAACTCATGGGCTCAAGCAATCCTCCTGCCTCAGCTTCCCAAAGTGCTGAGATTACAGAGTTAAACCACTGTGCCTGGCCAATAAAGATTGTTGATACATTTAACAAGTCAGGTGGTAGCATTTTGGAGACAACGTCCTGCAATGGTGTATTAGAATATTTATGGCAATGTGAAAGTACTGAGAAGTAAGCATTTGTTTAAAATGAGATTAACAGATTAGGGACATTTTAGCAGGAAATAAAAGCTTAATTTTCTCTTTTGGAAATCAGTGATTTACTATAAAATACCATAGTTCTACATTAAAATAACATACACATAACATTTGCATCAAGAAAATGGTTCAAAACTGCTTCCTTTCTAACTTGAAAACAGTGCTTTTTTGTTTTTTCTTTTTGAGATGGAGTTTCACTCTTGTCACCCAGGCTGCAGTATAATGGCATGATCTCGGCTCACTGCAACCTTTGCCTCCTGGGTTCAAGCAATTCTCATACCTCAACCTCCCGGGTAGCAGGGATTACAGGTGTGCACCACCACGCCGGCTAATTTTTAAATTTTTAGTAGATGGGGTTTTGCTATGTTGGTCAGGCTGGTCTTGAACTCCTGATTCAGGTGATCCACCCTCCTTGACCTACCGAAGTTCTCAGATTACAATGTGAGCCACTGCACCCCACATCAGTAAATTATTATTATTTTGAGATGAAGTCTTGCTCTGTTGCTCAGGCTGGAATGCCATGGCGCAGTCTGGCCTCACTGCAACCTCTGCCTCCTGGGTTTAAGCGATTCTCCTGCCTCAGACTCTTGAATAGCCAGGGTTACAAGCATGCGTCACCACACCCAGCTAATTTTTGGATTTTTCGTAGAGATGGGGTTTCACCATGTTGGTCAGGCTGGTCTCAAACTCCTGACCTCATGATCCACCTGTCTCGTCCTCGCAAAGTACTGGATTACAGGCGTAAGCCACTGTGCCCAGCCTAACAGTGAATTATTTTTAGCATAGGTGAGTTGAATGCAAGTGATGGCAGTGGCTGCTGCCATCATGCTGTGTGGCTGGGCTACACACTCCATGGAGTAGGTGGAAGCCCACCCCTTCTGGGTTGGGATGGGAGCTGCCAACCGCTGCAGACCCAAGCCTCTTGCTCTATGAAGCAAGCAGGGACCCTGCCCTCCTGGACTGCAAACTGCAGCTGTGGATCTGAGCCTCCCTGTGCTCTTGGGGGAACTGTGAACAAACAGGATTTGCCTTTCCAGGTGCTGCTGTAGCCACTACGCTGGTGGTTGCAGACCTGGGCCTCTGGCTGCAGACCTGGGCTTCTGGCTCCAGGAAGCAGGCAAGAGCAGGGGACAAGCGGGAGTCCTGCCCATTCTGAGTTGGCAGGGTGGGAGCTGCTGGGTGCAGCTGCAGTGGCAGGACTGGGGAATCTCTGCAGCCAGCATTCTTGGGCACCCCAGGAAGGACCCCACCAGGCACTTGGGCCATGAATGGCAGCAGGAGGCAGATGGAGTCCTGGGCAGAAGGGAGTGGGGTCCCCAGTAAGGCCCCACCCTCAGGGCAAGGAGACCCTGAAGTCTGGGGGCTGGACTGCTAGTCCCCTGGACTGGAGTGGGGACTTGTGACACCTCTTCCTGGCCTGCCCATGGACCAGTTAGCATGCATTTTATCCTTTCTGAGGTCCAGGGTAGGGGATAACCAAAGGATAAGAAGAGAGAGAGACTGGACAACCAGCTGCAGAGAGGAAAACACTCTCCACTGGAGCTACAGAGATGACCTGTAGGCAGAGAAGAGCTATCCTCTCTGCTGAGAACTTCAGAAACCTGCAGAGACATTGGAATGACTTGCTTGTGGAGAGGAGCCACCCTCTCCAGGGCCTCCTGCCTGCTAACAGCTGAACACTAGACTGGAAAACCTGCCTACAGAGAGGAGTTACCCACTCCTCTGAGCTATTCTAACACTAAATAAAACTCTTCTTCACCCTTCACTTGTCTGTGTACCTCATTCTTCCTGGATGCAGGACAGGAACTCAGACAAAGGTGTTATGTTTCCAGCTAGAAAAATTGACACCCCAGAGATCCTTTAATATAAGGGATATAATTTTTTCCGTATTCCCACTTTTTTCTTTTTAAAAAATATCCTTTGCCAATAGAATCACCCATTTTTTTACTCTGGTTTGGGACTAGGAGTGCTTATATTTGTAAAGTCATTAGCATTCCCCTTTAGTTTCCTATCTCCTTAATAGATTTTAGAAGTTAAATTCCTTCATTTTCCAGTTAGCAAACATCAGCAATCCACATGTCTTTGGAAGAAGCAGCACAGATAAGGTGTTGGGGTTCATTGTAGAGTGATCCATTCACTTCATCAAGAAAGTAAAAATGCAAACTATAGACTAGGAGAAGATACCTGTGAGTCCATGTACCCAGGACTCACATACAGAATTTTTTATTTTTGAGACTGAGTCTTGCCCTGTTGCCCAGGCTGGAGTGCAGTGGTGCAATCTGGGCTCGCTGCAGTTTCCGTCTCCCGGGTTTAAGTGATTCTCCTGCCTTAGCCTCCTGAGTAGCTGGGATTATAGGTGTGCACCACTGCACCCAGCTAACTTTTGTATTTTTAGTAGAGACAGGGTTTCACCATGTTGGTCAGGCTGGTCTTGAACTCCTGACCTCGTGATCTGCCTGCCTCAGCCTCCCAAAGTGCTGGGATTATAGGCATGATCCACCACGCCCAATCCAGAATATTTTATGAAGCAGGGAGGGGAATGAGGGTGAGAACAAAAGAACAAGCACTTCACAGGAGGATATTCAAGAAAATAAGCTTGATATCACTTACCCTTCGGGAGATACAAATTAAAACCCAGGATTATCTACCTATAGCACAGCTTAAAATTTAAAAGATTATATAATTAAAAATTCTTATTTTAATGACCAAAGCTATTTTGGTGATGGAAAACAAAGTATATTAAAATATTAAAACTGCTCATCTTTTACTAAAATTAAAAGTACTTGTAATATCAAATGTTGGTGAGGATGTGGAGCAACTGGAACTTTCACACATTGCTGGGGTGTAAATGGTCAGATACTTTGAAAACAGTTTATTTATTTATTTATTTTGAGACAAGGAGTCTTACTCTATTGCCCAAGCTGGCATTCAGTGGCGTGATCTCGGGCAACCTCCACCTCCTGGGTTCAAGCAACTATCCTGCCTCAGCCTCCTGAGAAGCTGGGATTACAGATGTATACCACCATGCCCTCACACCCTCGCTAATTTTCCTATTTTTAGTAGAGACAGGGTTTTGCCATGTTGGCCACGTTAGTCCTGAACTCCTGACCTCAGGCGAACCTACTGCCTCACCCTCCCAAAGTGCTGGAATTACAGGTGTGAGCTACCATGCCTGGTCTTGGTCAAATACTTTGGAAAACTGACAGTATCTACTAAAGCTAAACATACAACAGCCCTGGCAGTCGCAGTGGCTCATGCCTGTAAATCCCAGGCATCATGAGGTGGGATCATGAGGTCAGGAGTTCAAGACCAACCTGGTCAACACGATGAAACCACGTCTCTACTGAAAAAAAAATACAAAAAAGTTAGCTGGGCGTGGTGGCACGTACCTGTAATTCCAGCTACTCATGAGGCTGAGGGAGAAGAATTGCCTGAACCCAGGAGACGGAGGTTGCAATGAGCTGAGATCACACCACTACACTCCAGCCTGGGTGACAGAGTGAGACTCCATCTCAAAAAAACAACAACAACAACAAAAAAAACTACACAACTGCCCTATGACCCAGCAATTTCACTCATAGGTATAAACCCAAGAGGAATAAATGTGTATGTCTACTGAAAGACATAAGGAATTTGCACAGCAGCTTTACTCATAAGATCCAAATAACAGAAACAACTCATTCTGTGTATTCACACAATAGGTTACTAAACAACAATTTGGAACTAAGGTTAAATCATAATTTTTTTTTTTTGAGACGGAGTTTCACTCTTGGCATCCAGGCTGGAGTGCAATGGCGCGATCTCAGCTCCTTGCCATCTCCACCTTCCAGGTCCACCCCGAGTAGCTGGGATTACAGGTGCCCGCCACCTTTCCTGGCTAATTTTTGTATTGTTAGTAGAGATGGGGTTTTACCATGTTGGCCAGGCTGGTCTCAAACTCCTGACTTCAGGTGATCTGCCTGCCTCAGCCTCCCAAAATACTGGTATTACAGTTGTGAGCCACCGCGCCCAGCCAAATTGTAATTTAGAACTACTGCTACACATAACTTGGAGGAGTCTCACAGACACTGTGATGAAGGAAAGAAACCAGACAAAAAAGAATACATTTTCTATGATTCCAATTTAACAGATAAGCCTTTAAAAACAGATAAAACATCTCTGGTGACTAAAGTCAGAATAGGTTATTTCTGGGAAGGAGAGGAAGTATCAATTAGGAAAAGATACAAGGGAATCCCCGAGTGAGCTGGGAACATTTCATATTTTGATTGGACGGGGATTATGTATGTAAACATTCTTCAAGCTTCATACTTAAAATTTTTACCCTTACCTGTATATATACCTCAATGAAAAATAGGTAAGCTGTTTCGAGAGGGGCAAAGAAAAGCTGATGGACACCTTCATGTGGTACTTACTTTGGAAGCTGCCCAGTCAATCCAGCCTTTAGCGCAAGGGTCAATATTAATGAGCACAAGGCCTTCCACAAATTCTGGATGATTGAGCTGAAAGATGAGGCAAAGACAACAGTATGAAAACTACACTCCCACAGTTCTTCTAAACAGTTGCAACATGGTTGATCAATTCTTTTTTTTTTTTTTTGAGATGGAGTTTTGCTCTTGTTACCCAGGCTGGAGGGCAATGGCGCGATCTCGGCTCACCGCAACCTCCGCCTCCTGGGTTCAGGCAATTCTCCTCCCTCAGCCTCCTGAGTAGCTGGGACTATAGGCATGCACCACCAGGCCCAGCTAATTTTTTGTATTTTTAGTAGAGACGGGGTTTCACCATGTTGACCAAGATGGTTTCGATCTCTTGACCTCGTGATCCACCTGCCTCGGCCTCCCAAAGTGCTGGGATTACAGGCGTGAGCCACCGCGCCCGGCAGTTGATCAATTGTTTCTTACATGCCTTAATGCCTCACATTTGAAAGTTAAGGCTACAAACAGGGAGAATCTGTGGAAAAATAGCTCTTCCTGGACTTAGCATCTGGAAATTACATTCTAGTCTTACGATCAAATTACTTATTTTACTATCAAATTATCTTGCTTTGCAAAGACCTATATGCAGTTGTTCAACTCATGGTGGATTTTCCTTGGGAAAGAGCCCTTGGCACAAGGGGCTGCTCCATACTCATTTATCTTTGTTCTCAACAGGGGCTTCTAAAGTTGTTTTTTTTTTTCTCCTGAAACCACCTGAATAGTTTATATCATCCCCAGAAGACTCTCCTATCACTGAGGAGGTATTAAAAAAATAATAATAACTTCTGGCCCGGCGCAGTGGGTCATGCCTGTAATCCCAGCACTTTGGGAGGACAAGACAGGTGGATCACAAGGTCAGGAGTTTGAGACCAGAGACCAACATGGTGAAACCCCATCTTTACTAAAAATACAAAATTTAGCCGGGCGCAGGCGTGTCTGCAATCCCAGCTACTCGGGAGACTGAGGAGAATCGCTTGAACTCAGGAGGCAGAGGTTCCGGTGATCCGAGATCATACCACTGCACTCTAGCCTGGGCAACAGAGCAAGACTGTCTCAAAAAAATTTTTTTTTCTTTAATAAGAGTACTTCCATGTAATCTCAAAACTCTCTAGCTTATTATTTTTTAAAATTTCATTTCTTTTTTGTTTTTGAGACTGAGTTTCACTCTTGTTGCTCAGGCTTGAATGCAATGGTGTGAACTCGGCTCACTGCAACCTCCACCTCCAGGGTTCATGCAATTCTCCTGCCTCAGCCTCCCAAGTAGCTGGGGTTATAGGCACCTGCCACCACATCTGGCTAATTTTTGTATTATTTAGTGGAGATGGGGTTTCACCATGTTGGCCAGGCTGGTCTTGAACTCCCAACCTCAGGTGATCTGCCTGAATCAGCCTCCCCAAAGTGCCAGGATTAAAGGTGTGAGCCATCACGCCAAGCCCCTAGCTTACTTCTTTTCTTTCTTAACATCTCCTTGAATTATCTAGCTCACTTTTTTTTTCTCTTACTACCGTGATTACATTCACTGTAGAAAATTTGATAAGCCGAGAAACTACAAAAAGCAGAAAATAAAATTTCATATTCTTTTTTTTGAGACAGAGTTTCACTCTTGTTGCCCAGGCTGGAGTGCAATGGCACAATCTCGACTCACTGCAACCTCCGCCTCCCAGGTTCAAGCAATTCTCCTACCTCAGCCTCCTGAGTAGCTGGGATTACAGGCATGCGCCACAATGCCTGGCTATTTTGTATTTTTAGTAGAGATGGGATTTCTCCATGTTGGTCAGGCTGATCCCGAACTCCTGACCTCAGGTGATCCGCCCACCTCAGCCTCCCAAAGTGCTGGGATTACAGGCACGAGCCACGGCGCCTGGCCAAAATTTCATATTACCTTACCACACATCAATCCATTAATACTTTTTGGTGCATTTTCTTCCAGTCCTTTCCTATGGCTATGACATACTTTATGTGAACCTATATTCTAATTTTTTTGGTTAACACTATAATGTATGTAAACCATGTATCATTATAAAGCTTTTCATAAACTTAACTTTAATGGCTGTATAAAATTCCATTATGAGCAGTATCTTGGACTTGCTTTTTATTGATGACATCCTGCCCCCATTTGTGATTTTTCAGGTATTGTAAGTACAAAGCAGGCTTTATACAACCTATATCTAAAGCTGACAGAAGTTACAGAAAAACTAACATAAGGCCCAGGATACTGTCTGGTTGTTTGACACAGCAGTAATAGCTGTGACCCAGACAGTGCCTCAAAGATGTTGACGTTAATCCTCTGCATACTTACTGCAAATCTGCTGAGGATGTAAGCTCCAGCTCCAACTCCAATTCCAATGACGCTTTTCAGGCTGTGAATGAGACATAAGGACAACTGACAGAGTTAACTTCATTTTGAGGCAGTATTGCTTAACTGAAAGCATACAAACCTGGGTTGAAATTCTGGCTCTGATATTTATTAAATGTGAGAATTTGGGCAAGTTTTTTTCTTTACCCTAACTTTCTGAGCTTCAGTTCCTTATCTGTAAAACAAGGATCCCGGACAGGTGTGGTGGCTCATGCCTAAATCCCAGCACTTTGGGAAGCCAAGGCCGGTGGATCACAAGGTCTGGAGCTCAAGACCATCATGGCCAACATGGTGAAACTCCATCTCTACTAAAATTCAAAAAATCAGCCAGGCGTGGTGAGCTGTGCCAGTAGTCCCAGCTATCTGGGAGGCTGAGGCAGGGGAATCACTTGAACTTGGGAGACAGAGGTTGCAGTGAGCCAAGATCGTGCCACTGATCTCAAGCCTGGTGACAGAGTTAGAATCTGCCTTCAAAAAACAAAAAAAGAAAAAAACCAAGAAGGATCACACCACCTACTTTCAAGTTGGTTTTAATGGGTAAATAAAATATAACTGAGGCCGGGCATGGTGGCTCACATCTGTAATCCCAGGACTTTGGGACGCCAAGGCGGGCGGATCACTGAAGGTCAGGAATTTGGGACCAGCCTGGCCAATGTGGTGAAACCCCATCTCTACTAAAAATACACACAAAAAATTAGCCAGGTGTGGTAACCTGCGCCTGTAATCCCAGCTAAACAAGAAGCTGAGGCAGAAGAATTGTTTGAACCTGGGAGTCAGAGGTTGCAGTAAACCAAGATCATGCCATTGCACTCCAGCCTCAGCAACAGAGTAAGACTCTGTGTCAAAACAAAACAAAACTATATATGACTGAAACCTGGGAGTTATTCTTGGCAGCTTACTGTCAGTATCCAACCCATCAGCGAGTCAGTGGAGAATATATCCATCTGTCTACTAGTATCTATTTTAATCATCCCCCAACAGCATCTAGTACCCATGCTGTTATTATCTCTTGCCCAGACTATTCTTAATAGTTTAACTATTCTCCCTGTTTTCTCTTACTCCCCTCCAAACCATTCTCTTCACAGTAAGATGAATCCTTTTAAAAATTTTTAAATAGCTTTATTTTTATTTTTTATTTTTTTTGAGATGGAGTTTCGCTCTTGTTACCCAGGCTGGAGGGCAATGGCGCGATCTCGGCTCACCGCAACCTCCGCCTCCTGGGTTCAGGCAATTCTCCTGCCTCAGCCTCCCGAGTAGCTGGGATTACAGGCACGCGCCACCATGCCCAGCTAATTTTTTGTATTTTTAGTAGAGACGGGGTTTCACCATGTTGACCAGGATGGTCTCGATCTCTTGACCTCGTGATCCACCCGCCTCGGCCTCCCAAAGTGCTGGGATTACAGGCGTGAGCCACCACGCCCGGCCTTTATTTTTATTTTTTAGATACAGGGTGTCACTGTTACTCAGGCTGAAGTACAATGGCGGGATCACAGCTCACTGTAGCCTCAAACTCCTGGTGTTAAGTGATCTTCCCACCACTGGGCCCAGCTCAAGGTAGCTTTTTATAATCTTCTAGGTCTCAGCGTATGTGCCACCTTCCTAAAGGACAATTCCCTAATTAGCCTTACTGAGGTAAATTCCACCCTTATTCTCTATCACAACTCCCCCACTGACTTACGGAACTTTATTATTTGTCTGCTTACTTGTTACCCCACTAAGCTCTAGGAGGACAGTGACTACTGTTTTGCTAACCATCGTATCCTCTGAGACAGACACTAAAGAATTCACCATAGAAAGTCAATACAAACTGCATGAAGACTGCAGAATGAACCTACCTTAAGTGGGTAAGAACAGGAGGCAGCATTTCGGCCAGCTCATCCATTGTGGGGTACTGATACCTGAAATACAGAAGCGTATCTCCTGAATTAGAAAGCATTCACAATTTCCAGTTACGACAACAGCTGGAAAGGTACAGAAGTCTTAGATAAAAGGCCAGGTGTGGTGCCTCATGCCTGTAATCCCAGTACTTTGGGAGGCCGAGGCGGACGGACCACCTGAGGTTGGGAGTTCAAGACCAGCCTGACCAACATAGAGAAACCCCATCTCTACTATAAATACAAAATTAGCCAGGTGTGGTGGTGCATGCCTGTAATCCCAGCTACTCAGGAGGCTGAGGCAGGAGAATTGCTTGAACCCGGAAAGCAGAGGTTGTAGTGAGCCAAGATTACACCACTGCACTCCAGCCTGGGCAACAAGAATGAAACTCTGTCTCAAAAAAAATAAAAGAAGGCTTAGATTAAAAAGCATTTCCTTTTACCAAAGGCTCAAAGGAGGTGATGTAGTACCTGAAAATGATTGTGGCACATTGTGTAACTCTCTACAACTGCCATGCTAAGGAGAAAGTAAAGAATCCAGTTTCTGGGCCGGGCGCGGTGGTTCAAGCCTGTAATCCCAGCACTTTGGGAGGCCGAGGCAGGTGGATCACAAGGTCGAGAGATCGAGACTAACCTGGTCAACATGGTGAAACCCCGTCTCTACTAAAAATACAAAAAAATTAGCTGGGCATGGTGGCGCATGCCTGTAATCCCAGCTACTCAGGAGGCTGAGGCAGGAGAATTGCCTGACCCCTGGAGGCGGAGGTTGCGGTGAGCCGAAATCGCGCCATTGCACTCCAGCCTGGGTAACAAGAGCGAAACTCTGTCTCAAAAAAAAAAAAAAAAAAAAGAAAGAGACAGGGTCTCACTCTGTCACCCAGGCTGGAGAGCAGTGATGCATTCATACCTCACTGTAACACTGAACTCCTGGGCTCAAGCTATCCTCCTGCCTCCGTATCCAGAGTAGCTAGGACTACAGGTGCATGCCACCATGCCTGGCTAATTTTTCCATTTTTTGCAGAGATGGAGTCTTGCTATGTTGCTAGGACTGGATTTGAACTCCTGGCCTCAGGTGATCCTCCTACCTCGGCCTGACAAAGTGCTAGAACTAAAGGTGTGAACCACTGTGTCTGGCATGGTTATTTTATTAATTGCTTTTGAATTTCGTTCGTAATATGAACCATCTGATCCTATGATGTTCGAGCAGGCCCAGGAACAGATCCAGATCAGAAATCCTAGAAACGTAGTAAGCAGCTGTGGGCGTTGGTTCATGCCTGTAAAACCCAGCACTTTGGGAGGCTGAGGAGGGCAGATTGCTTGAGCCCAGGAGATTGAGACCACCCTGGGCAACAGGGCAAAAGTCTGCCTCTACAGAAAATACAAAACTTAGCCAGGCATGTTGGCACATACTTGTAGGGAGGCTGACACTGGAGGATCACTTGAGCCTAGGAGGTTGAGCCCATGCAGTGAGCCATGATCATGCTACTGTACTCCAGCCTGGGAAACAGAGCGATACCCTATCTCAAAAAAAAAAGAGATTAGAGAATTGAAGATGGAATTGAGCATCAGATGACGACTTATATATGAGGCAGGATCTGCTCAACAACTCACAGGGAAGTCAGCCTGCCTCTGCTTGAACACTTAAGGGATGGTGTGCTGTGGAACCATTTGTGCACAAAATAGAAAAAAGGGAACTGGATTCAAATCTTGTTGGATATAAAGTGACCAATGGCCAATATGCATTTCAAAGGTAGAATGGCACAGATTCTGGCAACGGACTGTCTGGGTTCAAATCTTAGCTCTGCTACTTATGTGTTATATAATGTTGGCCACGTTACATAATTTTTCTGGGCCTTAGTTTCCTCACTTATAAAATGGAAATAATAGTAAATTTATCCCACAGGGTTGTGAGGGGTAAATGAGTTAACAAATATAAAGCATTTAAAGCAGTGTCTGGAACATGGTTTAAATACTATTTAAGTATTAGCTATTATTTGTCTGCAAATATCTACTTCCCAGCAGTCACTGGCCAAAGGCAGCTCTGGAGATGAATGAGAGGGGAAGAATTAGCATTCCACAGAGTGTGCTCTCACTTCACCTGAGGTCTTCTCAATAAGCACACTGTCCAGGGAACAAACAGGTAGGGAGCTTGTAACTCTGCCCTGCTAAGCAGACACAGGAGGAAGCTGAGTGCTAAAGCTAATCAATTAGCCCACACCTCTATCTGCCAGGACAGCCTCTAAGAATAAACAGTTACACAGATAATCAAATTTCCATTTCTAGATTGAGAGTTAAGGATGAGGAGATGCTACCAGGAAAGCTCAGAGGGATGTGAGTTTCAGCCTAGGTGGTTGGGAGTTTCGAGGAAGGACATAAAAATGACAGTTTTTGTTTATTTGTTTTCTTTTTGGAGACAGGGTCTTCACCCAGGCACTGCAGCCTCAATCTCCTGGGGTCAAGCGATCCTCCAACCACAGCCTCCCAAGTAGATGGAACCACAGGTGAATGCCACCATGCCTGGCTGGCTAATTTTTAAATTTTTGATAGAGACAAGGTCTTCCTATGTTATCCAGGCTGGTCTTGAACTCCAGAGCTCAAGCAATCCTCCTGCCTTGGCCTCCCAAAGTGCTGGGATTATAGGTGTGAATGACCACACCTTGCTAAAAAATGACAGATTTCAAATAGATGAGGAAGGGAACAGATAAAGGCAGTGAGAAGTAGGTGTTCTAGACATGCCTTGAGATCACAGGAAAGCAGGCACCTGCTATGGAGAGCCATTCCTGGATATGGGAAAACATACAGTTTCCCCCAAAAACCTATACATTACAGTCCTCTCAGCCCAAGGAGAGAAAATATGAGGATGGCTGGTTGATAAGCATAACCTATAGACTGTAAGAAAACCAAAGGGAAGCACACACCACTTCTGCCATTGGAGCTCAGCCAGTTGCTTTTCTGAGTGCATGTCTCCCAGAGGATCTTTTCGTGGTCTTACCCTGTGGGGAAAGAGGGTGCACCTTCCTGCTGGCCTGGAGCATCCACATGACAGACAGCAAAGTGTTGGGTGATCTCTTGCATATCCTCGAAGTTAAAGAATGCATTGAAACAGGATTTATCTATAAGAGTAAAAATACCCATAAGTCACAGGCTCTCCATTTCTCCCCAGTTTTCCTCTACTCAGTCAATGCCTATCATTGCCTTCTTTCACTACTTTTTAATCGCCATTCCACCAAAGCAAGGTATCTGAACAATCTGTCTGATTCAAGCTGTCCTAAGGCTGAATATAAGACACCTCAGCCAGGCACAGTGGCTCACACCTGTAATCCCAGAACTTTGGGAGACTGAGGCAGGCGGATCACCTGAAGTCAGGAGTTCGAGACCAGCCTGACTAACACGGAGAAAGCCCATCTTGTAACAAACTATAGAAATGATCCCTGAAAGTATAGTCTTACCCCATCTCTACTAAAAATACAAAAAATAGCTGGGTGTGGTGGCACATGCCTGTAATTCCAGCTACTCGGGAGGCTGAGGCAGGAGAATCGCTTGAACCCAGGAGGTGGAGGTTGTGGTGAGCCGAGATCATGCCATGTTACTCCAGCCTGAGCAAAAAGAGCGAAACTCCATCTCAAAAAAAAAAAAAAAAAAAAGACATCTCATATTGAGATACATACTGAAAACAATTCTCAATTCTAAACAATGTCTGCAAAGTAGAAACTACTTTGTTAATGTTTGGTGGTTTCTAATTACTGCACAAAATAATCTTACACCAATAATGCTGTCATTTCTCATGCTCATTATTCTTCTATCACACAAAGAGACACTGATTATACCCCAACAGCATAGGTAGAGTGAATGCCCTGAGCTGCTCATATTCACCACATGGGAGTTTGTCTCTTGGCAAAATTGCCAAGTGCGGGAAGGAGCTGCGACTTACACTTCTACCCCTTTGTATACCTGCTTAAATCACCTCTCATGCTAAGGCAGCTACAAAAGCTTTAACACGCAACTGCAGCCTCAAATGCAGGCCATCTATGAAAGCCAGAGTAGTGTGAAAGAGAGCACATGTATGCAGACTGCGTGTGTCTATGGCTGGAACCAGAATTTTATACTACCATCTAGAAAAGTCCACTTAAAGTCACTGGTGACAAGCTCTAGCAAGAATTCTTTTACTAATTCATTGAAGAACTCACAACAAAGTTAAGTTCCAACTGTGAATTTTCTAATTTGAAACATTAAAAAAAAACAAACTACAGGCTTGAAAACATGGATTTCATTTCTACTTTCTTAATCAATTCATTTATAATCTTCAATCCTTCAACAGACATGACAGCAAGATATGACTCCAGTATCTCCAAAACACATTCCCCTGCACATTTCCCAGGAACTTGCTACCATTAACAAATGTAGGAACAAGGAGAAAAGATTACCACAGAGAGGGGAAAACCTCTGCTCTATTAGAATATTATTGTCATTTGTTTTTTAATATACAAAGATTAAGTATGATAAGAAGGGAAGGTGTAAAAAAAAATACATACGGTTGAGGCCAATGTCATGATATGTTAGTATAACTGGTCTGTTTCCTTTGGGTAAGCCTCTTATAGTGACGTGGACCACACCATGAGTTGTTTCTATGTCATGCTCCTGTAACAAGAGAATAAAAGATCTCAGAAAAAGCAGAATGAAGTTCCCAGTTTGTAAAAGTTTCAAAATACCTGCTTTATCACCATTTCCCACCAGCTTGGGCAGGACACATTTATAAACTACATGTGGCTGGGCGTAGTGGCCCACACCTATAATCCCAGCACTTTGGAAGGCCGAGGTGGGCGAATCACTGGAGGTCAGGACTTGGAGATCAGACTGGCCAACATGATGAAACCTGTCTTTATTAAAAATACAAAACCAGCCAGGCGTGGTGGCACATGTACATAATCCCAGCTACTCCGGAGGCTGAGGCTGGAGAATCACTTGAACCCAGGAGGCAGTGGTTGCAGTGAGCCAAGATCGTACTACTGCACTCCAGCCTGGTGACAGAGCGAGACTTCGTCTCAAAAAATAAAAATAAAATAAAATAAATGAATACCAGAGGGATGCTATAGCATACATAATATTCCTACTTTCCAATTCTTCCAGAAAAATAAATATATAGGGAGCAAAACACACCTTGTTATCTCCAAAGCTCACTTACGAGCCCAGGGATCTGCTGAGAATACATTCGCAATTGGCTACAGGAAAGAAATCAGCAAATTGGATAAGGAACCGGGTAGGACTTGAGGGGAAAAAGAAAATGGAAGATATAAAGAAGTTGCTGGGTAAAAAGTCAGAGGCTTCAGAGCTTCTGAACACATGTTCAGCTAATTTATAATTAATTTCAGTAGATAATTTCACTAGACACATATGGGTGTATCTGCCTAGGATCTCTTCTTTCCTGGGAGCTGCCCTTCTGTGTCATCCACACGTTACAGGGGTGGGTCTTGGCTACCATGTTTGTAGAACATAACCTTACGGCCATAGCTTATTGGAGTCAGGGAGGCATCTGGCCCATGGTGGGATGGCATCTTTCCCTAGGTATTTGTAATTGGAACTAAGAGATTCCAACTTCAGCTTGGTTCTTCTCTTGAAAAGAGGAAATCAACTTGGGAGCTTTTAGTAGGCATTTCCACTACTCTTAATTTCTAGCTGTGCGTACTTGTAAGTTCTGAGACATCCCTGGATTGGCTCTGGTTTAAACTATATTGGGTGAGTTTGTACCCTATACTCCTAAAGGATCTTAACCAAGCCAGTGAGTTAAGGATGCAGCCAGAACAAAGCTCAGGAACTGAATAAAGCCAACAAAGGATGCACCGAGCTGCTGAGAGTAAATGCCACACTAAGAGTGGTTGGGTGGGAAAAAAAAGGGACTGCAGAAAAGTTAACTGAGATTTATTCTAGTTGTGCTCAAGTTTTATATTTCTCAAAAATAAAAAAATTACCACACCTAGTCTACTGAATTTCTGCTGATGAAGCTGCCTATTATCTATCTTAGAAAGTCTTATATTAAGTAAGAGAAGAATAACTCTGTCAATGAGAATCCCAAAAATAGCAAAGGGCTTTTGGTTTAATTTCCTATCTAATAATGAACTTCATCAGAGCTTTGTTTTCTTCTCTGATGTGGGCAACAGAGCAACTACTTGGACTAATCGGTCATCAGGATATCTCAAATTACAGGTCCTAGGCTGAAGCGATAGCCATTCCTATCAAATCAATCCATGTGTGACTCACTATTTCTGTTATTCTCTACTACTACTACCTCCTAGTCAAGTCTATTCAAAGCCTTGAAAAATGAACAAAAGAAATGAAGACTATAATCAGGTACTATGAACTGGCTATGAAATAAAGTATAGGCCAGGTACTATGGCTCATACCTATAATCCCAGCACTTTGGGAGGCCAAGGTGGGCAGATCACCTAAGGTAAGCAGTTCAAGACTACCCTGGTCAACATGGTGAAACCCTGTCTCTACAAAAATTAGCCAGGCATGATGGTGGGTGTCCGTAATCCCAGCTACTCAGGGGGCTGAGGTGGAAGAATCACTTGAAGCCAGGAGGTGGAGGTTGCAGTGAGCTGAGACAGTGCCACTGCACTCCAGCCTGGACGCCAGAGCTAGACTCCATCTCAAAAAAAATAAAAAAGAAAGGTTTGCATAGGAGGAAGATAAAGAAATAACTTTCTATTTCTGTATTTCTCTTACAATAACGTCAAACTTATTAAATGACCCACTTCCTGACCTTGGTTCATTCATTAAATATCTATTGAATGCCACTCCATACCAGACTGTACTGAGTTGGGAATAAAACAGTAAACCTGAGTGGATGCAGGGGTTGCGTGTGCGGAGCGGGCAGAAGGAAGGGCGCCGCTCCTGAGCGTGCACCCGGTGGGGCCGGCCACAACTCGCCGCTGGCACGCCCTTGGGCCATGGCCAGGCGCCTGCTCTTCCTTCCGCTTGCTGCGTGAGCTGAGCCGGTGAATGTGCGGCAATGACACATTAGCCCAGCTGCCCGCTGTCGTCCCCGCTGCTCGGAGGGCTACCGCCATGGTGATTTTCCTTCATGGATTGGGAGATACTGGGCACGGATGGGCAGAAGCCTTTGCAGGTATCAGAAATTCACATATCAAATATATCTGCCCGCATGGGCCCGTTAATGCCTGTTACATTAAATATGAACATGGCTATGCCTTCATGGTTTTATATTATTGGGCTTTCACCAGATTCACAGGAGGATGAACCTGGGATTAAACAGGCCGCAGAAAACATAAAAGCTTTGATTGATCAAGAAGTGAAGAATGGCATTACTTCAAAGAGAATTATTTTGGGAGGATTTTCTCAGGGAAGAGCTTTTTATCTTTATATACTGCCCTTACCAGGCAGCAGAAACTAGCGGGTGTCACTGCCCTTAGTTGCTGGCTTCCACTTCGGGCAACATTTCCACAGGGGCCTATCAGTGGCACCAATAGAGGTATTTCTATTCTTCAGTGCCACGGAGATTGTGATCCTTTAGTTCCCCTGATGTGTGGTTCTCTTACGGTTGAAAAACTAAAAACACTGGTGAATTCAGCCAATGTGACCTTTAAAACCTATGAAGGTATGAGGCACAGTTCGTGTCAATAGGCAATGATGGATGTCAAGCAATTCATTGATAAAGTCCTACCTCCAACTGATTGACGTCACTAAGAGGCCTTGTGTAGAAGTACACCAGCATCACTGTAGTAGAGAATAAACCTTTTCCCATGCCCAGGCTTCAAATTTCTAATGTTTGCAGTGTTAAAATGTTTTGCAAATACGCTCTAGTGACACAGATCAATAATGTCTCCTCATGAGAAATGTATGATCTTTAAGTTTCTATACATGTATTCTTATAAGAAGATTCAGGATATACCATATTAAAATAGATGAAGCAGGCAGCTTCTTTTTTCTCAAATGTAAGTCAGCAAAATAATATAGTACTGCCACATGATCTTTTATTACATCATTTGAAAATTAGCAGTAAGGCCGGGCACGGTGGCTCACACCTATAATCACAGCACTTTGGGAGGCCGAGGCGGGTGGATCATGAGGTCAAGAGATCGAGACCATCCTGGTCAACAAGGTGAAACCTCATCTCTACTAAAAATACAAAAATTAGCTGGGCATGGTGGTGTGCGCCTGTAGTCCCGCTACTCGGGAGGGTGAGGCAGGAGAATTGCTTGAACCCAGAAGGCGGAGGTTGCAGTGAGCCGAGATTGTCCCATTGCACTCCAGCATAGGTAACAACAGCAAAACTCTGTCTCAAAAAAAAAAAAAAAAAAAAAAAAGATATAAACAATTACGCATGCTGTGACTTAGTCTATGGATTTATTCCAAAATTGCTTAGTCACCATGCAGTGTCTGTATTTTATATATGTATTCACATATATATAATGATTGTAATACATAATAAGAATGAGGTGGTATTATATTATTCCCAATAATAGGGATAATGCTGTTCATTGTCAAGAGACAGTAAATTGTTCTCTTTAACAAATGGCCCTTTTATTTTGGGGGAAAAGAAAACAGTAAACATGAGAAATGTGATCCCAGCCTTCACAGAGATTATGTTCTAGATAGGGAGGCAGACAATAAACACACAAACAAACCCAGCCATAATAATAGCTTGTGATAGGTGCAACCTCCACCTACTGGGTTCAAGCAATTCTCCTGCCTCAGTCTCCCAAGTAGCTTGGACTACAGGCACATGCCACCAGGCCTCACTAATTTTTGTATTTTTAGTAAAGATGGGGTTTCACCATGTTGTCCAGGCTGGTCTCAAACTCCTGACCTCAAGTGATCTACCTGCCTCGGCCTCCCAAAGTGCTGGGATTACAGGCATGAGCCACCATGCCTGTCAAGAATCAACAACTACTGGGAGAATAATCTGGTAATTTCTAGTAAAAGTAAGAGGTACCTACCCTACAGCAATTTTACATATAGATATAATCTAAGGCTGGGTCATTAGATTTCTGATGCTACTTGTATTACTTATAAGTTCTGAGACATCCCTGGATTGCCTCTGGCTTAAGCTACTAGGTGGGTTTCTACCCTATACCCCTAAAGGATCTTAACCTAGTCAATGGTGGTGGCTCACACCAGTAATCCCAGCACTTTGAGAGGCTAAGGTGAGAGAATCGCTTGAGCCAGGAGTTCAAGATCAGCCCCGGCAACACAGCGAGACCTCATATCTACAAAAAATAAAAATACTAGCCAGGTGTGGTAGCATGTACCTGTAATCCCAACTACTCGGAAGGCTGAGGTAGGAGAAAGGCTAGAGCCCAGAGGTCAAGGCTGCAGTGAACTATGATCACAATACTCCACTCCAGCCTAAGTGACAGAGCAAGACCCTGTCTCAAAAAAAAAAAAAAAAAAAAAATATTCTAAATAAACTATGAAACATGGTCACACACATAAAAGGACATTTACAGGGATATATGGGTGGCCCTCAAACAACACAAGGGTTAGTGGTGCCAACCCAATGTGTAGTCAACAATCTGCATATAATTTTTGACTCCCCCAAAACTTAACAACTAATAACCTAATATTAATAGGAAGCCTTACTAATAACATAAATTGCTAACACATATTTTATATGTTAT